ATTTAAAAATTATTTACTTATCATTTAAATTCTGTTCAATACTTGGTTGACATCATTACTTGGCAAACTATAAAATAGGACGAATTGTATTCACAGCCAACGAGAATGAGTTGGTCAGAACGATTTTACTTGATCTTGGGAGTCTTACTGAGAGTATATGAATATGACTCCGAGAGATTAATTTAAATGAATGTAGTATTAACATTCATCCAGTTAATGGATATTTATGAGATTTGAATGTATAAGATGTAATTGAGGCGGGCAATGATCATGGTATTCATAATAGAAACAGCTTTTAAAAATATTTTATAAAGTTTTTAGAGTTCCTTTCAATATTACACATATGTAGAGATAACGATGAAATTCATTTATCTTCATCTTGTTGTTTAATAAATTTACTTACTGAAAATTATCACAAATTCTTTGAAGAGATGATAATAAAATCAATTAGACCGAGGAAGGGGTCGAGATATTTAACCATGCGGAGAAATAATTATATTAATCATTAATATACACATGGCATTTACGTAAAATCTATATAACCGGTTATTTTATATCGATTGACAGCGATTTACGCTCATAATTATTAGTTGTTACCGTCTTATCTATTACCTGTCAAATAAAACAACTTTAGTTCCATTTTTTTGGACTTTTTTTGAGAGTTAATTATTAAAGCTCTAATGAAATGAGTTGATAATAGTATCACAAATGAGTGATTTTCTATTTTTATGTTGTCAAATACCATGAATAATTAGAAAATTAGATTTTTTTATCATCAAATATGCTAATCAATAGCTCACTTTTTTCATGCATTAAATTATAATTATTATTTTATTGAAGTTTTTTCAATCAATTCTTCTTAACCTGAATAACTTGAAGAAAGTTTTATGATGAAGTTTTTTTTTCTTGTTATTCAAAATTTGCACAGCATAAATAATAATTATTCGTACTATGTTTCAAGTGATTGTTATCAATGTTGCTGTTAATAAATAACAAATTATCTTTGAATGCATCTATCAAACATTTTTTTATATCGCAAACTAATGATTAGAATATCGATCAGAATTCAAATAGAGATATCTCTAGTTTATGTTGATGTTGCCGGCTGAACTTAAGAGACTAGAATTATACAAAGTAAAGGAGCTGATTATGTTGAATAATCTATTACTTAATATAAGTAAGTGTGTACTCAGATAGACTAGAATGATATCACATGATGATGAAATAATATTTCTTTTAATTCTTCATCTACATTTTAGGTGCAATTATTGAATTTTAAGAATGCTTAGACGTACTTATTTATAATTTCTTGCATCGATATTCATTTTTATACTGTACTTCTTGGGAGTAATTTTTTTTCAGTAAAAAACACTAAGGAAATTTTTTATGAATAAAAACTGTGGAAGGTTTATTAATTGATGAGCTACATTTAATTGTTTATACAATTTTAGTAGTTTGTTTTTACATGAAAAATTGAATATTTTGGAATTGGTTTCGATTGTAAACTATTGAAAAAAAATTTAAATCTCCATGGAATGAAATGTAATTAATAACACTAATATTTGCGTTTAAACAATCGAAATGTTAATAAATAAAAAACTAACAGCTTTTGGGAAGAATAATCAACGGATTCGAATTACTCATGCAAAAATATATAAAACCCCTAGATTATTTTTTCAATCTGTATTTTCAATTTTTTGAATACATGGCCAGCCCATGAACTATGAAGGGGTATTGAAATTTTTTCTTTATAAATATTTTAGTTATGCACTTATTTAAGAAGAACTTTCGACAAATTTTTTTATCGGAAAAATCATAAAATGTTCAAAGAATAGCCATCAAATTATTTTATAAATTTCATTTCAAAGACAAATTTAATAGAATATATTTTTTGACGCATTTTAGAAAATACCTGACGTAATCATCTATAGAATAGTTACAATGTCACGTTTATATTTTTCAATATATGAATAAAAAATAAATATCTCCAACAAAAAAAACTTTAAAATTTGAAATTTATTCACCGTCATTTACAGGACAGTTAATGAAATAGATTTCTACGAAATATTTGAACTTAGCAGTAGGTCTAATCTTGGAAATGAATGCTTAGTCATGCTTTTCAAATCTATCTGAACCATGAAGACCAGATTAATTAATCCTGATCCTTTTAATTTTTTTTTTCTAATAAAATATTTTTTGTCTTCCATTTTATCATATTTTCTTATAACTCAATAACATGAACACATGATTAAACTCAACTATTTCTCGCAATTACGTTAAACTCTACTCTCAATACTTGCACGTTCATCCTCAAGATATATAATAACTTTATACGTGTTGCACTAACTTTCTTTGCAATGCTAAGGTATTATTATTTATCCAACATCTCAATACATCGTATGGGAGCTGCAATTGATGCAATCATACAATATTTTTCTGCAAAAAAAATTCCCCAATAAACTAGCAATCCAACTAATAAGCTTAAGTAAACAAAAATTAATAGAAAGTCATTCTTTTCCATTATAGTCCAGTTAATATAAGAGGTTTTGCTTATATTAGCCTTATTTAAACTTGACATTATTAAAAAATAATTTTATTCAATAGATATAAAATAATGTAAATTTTGCTGAGAGATGCACTGAATTTTTACTAAGGAATATAGCAAAATTTACTTGGGAACGCATCAAAAATTCGTGTAATAACCCAATAAAACTTACTGGGGCGCTCAGTAAAATTAAAAAAAAAACATTTTTCTCAGTGTAGTTATGTCCTTTTCTAACACGTGACAGTGTCCATATCACTATCTCGCTTAGATACACGGGACCACTGAAAAGCGAAAAAAATCATAGAAAAAAAAATCGGCACACTTTCATTTTTAGACACATTTTTTCTGTAGGCTATTGTAGATATTTTGACGTTGGAAAATTAAAAATTGCCTGCTGTACGAAAAATGTGCCCACAATGGAGCAAAGCCTCTTTTACTGACTGGACTATTGGATTAATATCACTGAATTATTTTAACCACTGAGTTAAATAGTGAATCATCTATTTATATAGAAATAAAAATAAAATAAATGATCAATAATATAAATCACTGATCTTTCATAATTGATTTGACCCTAGATGTGTACCGATACAAAGACTTGCAGACATTATTTATGAATAAAACTTGTTAAAGATAATTTGGCTGTCACAACATTTTAGCAGTAAGAACAATTACTTAATAGGTTTTTAATCGAAGAATTACCGGGAATAAAAACCTTTACATGTCGAGATGGAAATAAATTAATTCAATGATATTGTTTTAGTTTGAATAAGAGGTTTCCTTGAATAAAAAAAAAAATAATACTGAGTTTTAATTGAAACAATTATCTTATTATCGATGACTTAATATATAATTATACAAACTGTCAATCACATGTATATATTAACAACTATTTTGCAAGTTATTAATTCAAGGTTGATTCAAAAACTGTTATAAGTTTGTTGCTATATCAGCAACAGTATGTATGTTAAGAACATCTGGTGCAGTTTTGTTTTGCCGGTACATCTTTATTCAAGAGAATGCAAAAAAGTGCAAAATAAAGAAAGAATTTTTTTACAAAACATTTAATGAGTCGGACCCTTTGATGATAGAATTAAAATAAGACATCTATCAGAAAGTGAATCAGACAGAGAAGATGGTTAAATAAAAAATTGAAAAAATGATTAAAGTACTGAGAGTGTAAAGTATTACTTTTTATGTGTTTGGTACATCCACTTTACGTGTCAAGAGTACATTTTACGATTTAAAAAGCATATATCTTTTTGGGCATTCAATTTGTGAATGTGTTTTAGGATACTGAATGGTCGCGAAATTCGAACATTCTTGTGGTTGTTCAGGATCAACTTGAAGTAATGACTGGTTTTTGAGTTACTTTAAGACATCAATTTTCAATAAAATATAATAATTTAACGACCTCAGGTGAGTTATTTACGTTTAAAAATGACCATTGATGAAATATTTTCAATTTTATATCTACTAAATATTTTTCAAACTCCAATTAAATATTTAATGATTAAAATTGTTGATATTTTGGAGCATGAAAGTATTTTATTTTAAAATAATTGTTTGAACAAGTCTTTTTTTGTACTTTGCTTTGATTATGTGACCTCTAAAGATGATTCTAGACCGGATACAGTATGGAAGATGGCGAGTATTTCTCTCATAAAATCCTGTCTTAGAGTGGGTAACTCGAGAGGTGTCTTACCTTCACAGACAAGACGTTTTTCGCTCTTTTAATTCGCTTACCGCAGTATACACTACGATATCTTTGTGATAACGTTTGTATTTACTGCTTTAGAGTTTGTATAAACGAATAAAAAAAAAACAATGCATAATGAAATTTCTTTTTTAAGAAAAAATAAATTTCCTGCTGCAAAGAAAAAATAAATAGATAATTTTTTTAAGGTAGTTATATCTCTTGAGAGTTTGTATCAAAATTAATTTCGCCCCAGACAAATAGAATTAATTATATGCGGAAAAAAATATCTAAACTTTTGTGAGATTATATTTAAAAATTTTTCATACTATAAGTAATATTTAATGATATCTCGTAGGATAACTTTCCCTGGGTGTTTTACACCCGGGTCAGAATGTAATACTTTGCTCCCTTGGTTAACAATCTACGATTTATAAATCCTTCGTTCAATAACTCAATGTTAAAATTTTATAAAATTTTACTTTAGCATTAATTGCATATTCATTGATGTTTTAATTTTTTTTTTAACGTAATCGTAAATTTCGTTTTGGAATATTTATTTAGAAATTATAACGGGTTACCTTCTACTACTAGATTGCATGGTAAAATCGCATTCTTTAATTGCAAATATCTGAATTTCTAGATGTCAGAAGTTTTTTGTTTAGAGGAAAGAAATGTTTATCTTTTATAAAAAAATTGTAAGCAATTTCTCTAATAGAAAGATATTTGATAAAAATATAAATAAGTTAGAAAACCTACCCCAATCGTCACGTCAGATTGAATGTCTACACGTCTGTCTTCACTGTAATCCTCATCTTCTTGCTCCAGATTCTTGATCTTAGCTCGAGGCTCTAAAATCTTAGAATTTAATTTCTTCTGTTCAATCTTGCGGTTGTCCAGATTAAAAATTGATGTCTTTTGACTTGGAGCTATTAAATATTTAATATTATTTGTAGGTTCTTTTTTAGTTATTGTCCGATTGAATCCACTACTAGGCCGTGTGAAATTTTTAGTTGTGTTTTTAGGCTCGTACTTGAGATTACCATATGTGTCTCGTTGGAGATACTTTTCAATCTCAATGTTTCTGTAATCACGTTTGACACTTGGCGGTTTTGGTGTCTTGGGGTCATTGGAGGTTAATCTCTTAATGATATTATCATAAGTTCTCGAAGAAGAAGATGTTTCATCATTAAAAAAATCATTATCGATTTTATCTGAATCATCCTCGTCTTCAGCTGATTCAGCTTCCCTCCAGATACTATCCTCCTCATCATCAGCACTCACTTCCGAGACATTAAACTTTTTACTTTTGTTCCTGGATCCGTCTTCCAATTTAACATTTTTTTCAGCTTCATCAACGCTGTCATAATCATAGTCATCATCTGGATACCACCTTTTAGCTTCTCTCTGATAATTCATTTTTCTTCGATGATCTAGATCAGCTTTTCGAGCTCTCCATTCTCTCCTGGACTCAATCCAATCACGATGAGAGAAGTAATAATCAGTTTTTCTATGAATTGGATAACTTCTCCACCTTGAGGAGTCTTCATCATCTAAATAATGCCATCGTGGTGGCCTCTCGTAATCATCATAGTCTTCAGTGTCATCTTGAACATCATCAGGATCTATGTCGTGATTCCTCGAGGTGTAGTCATCTTTGTAAGACCAAGGGCGTGTTCTATGACCTCTCATGTTAAATCCAAATCGCCTTCGACGTTCTGCATCTTCAACATGCCGGAAGTTGACTTCATGCCTCATATTTGCATGATATCTTCCACGATACGGTGCTTCTAATCTTGGTTGATAATGTCTTGGACGGTAGTAGTCTTCTTCATCGTCCTCTTCATCATCTTCTTTCATGTCATCGTCAACCTCTAATCTATGAGACTCGTGGTTTCTTCTTGCGGTCAATGATGACACTTCATGACGATGTCTATGTCGATGTCTTGGACTATCATCACCATGATATCTTGCTTCTGTTAACACCAACGATCCAACAATCGTCAGCAAAGTTATAATCGCCAACCTTCGAGTGCTATTCATTGTGAATTTAAACGTTTTTTTTTTTTTTTGAACGCCCAATTGAGCTAATTATTACACTCTGATTACATTATTACAGATTTTTAGTTTTTCAACACCAGTTTACTTTTGTCACTACTTTTTATTTCAAACCTTTAGTCATTTAATGATATTTATCCATTTAATTATCAGCTATTTTAATAATTTATTATTTCACCACAATAAATAATATTATATTCATTTATTACCACTGATTTTCACCACTGAAAATACACTGGTATGAAAAATTTATTGATATGTACAATTGAACACTTTTTCACTTTTTTTTGTTATCAAAGTTACACATCCACTGATAAAGGCTAATTTTGATCCAGAAAAAAATAATTATTTATAATTAAATAAATATATATATATATATGTATATCAAATTATGATTGAGTTAAAAAAAATTTTTTTCATGTTTAATTAAATCGTAATTTGAAATTTTACAGTTGACGACTGTTAAATGAATGTTGATGAACGCGTGTTCCGGCGCGTTTTTTTTTGTAGAACGTAAAATTGGATAAACTATCCAATCAATCGCGGACTGAATGTCGCGGGCGACTGAGTCTGCGTCGACTTACAGACTTGGAGAACGCAAAACGTAAGGCGCATGCGTGCAACCAACATCCCCGCTACCAAAGACTAGTGTCAAGAACTTGATGCATCTTTTTTAATAATTTTTGTCTTTGGATTTTTGCCAAAATTTTGCTTCATATTATTTGTCCAATTGACATTTTACAAAGTACGTAATTTATTTTCTATGAAAACGACAGAATAACTTATGTAAACAATGATCCATATAAAATTGCATTGAAGAGTTTATGATTAAAAGAAAAAAGAAAAAATGAAAGTGAATTGAAATGTTTAAACAAAAAGCGACATTGGCAAATTGTTGAGGATCATTATTTCATTATTAGCATAAGCTTTTTCGTCTCTTCCTTTCCCGTCGTCCATTCACTATGTTCTGCCATTCAGAAATTCCACCAACGTCTGAACGTGCGTCGCGAAATATCCCAAAAGATACGATCAGTCTCTCCGGTTAGCCGTTTGAAAACTGGTTTGCGCGCACAGTCGTGTCGCGCGCTTTTTATCGTTCTCATGTGCCTCCGGCATACGCGCACATGCGGTAAATAAACAAGTGTCCCGCGTGATGTCCATTTCGATTTTTCTTCGGTATCATATTAGCTGAATTTTTTTATGTCTTGGAACTGGCCACTCTTCAGAATGCGAATTTCATCTTTTCTATATAATCACCAAAATTTGTCATCTTTTCATTTTTTTGTTTATAACAAATATCTTGTCTTTTTGTTATAAATAAAAAATAATAGCTGGACCAAATTTGTTTGAACTCATTTTCAAATCTTCTCCCTTGTTTTATCTACCGAATAAATTTTTTTCGGAGTCGATATCTTCAGTAGTTCTCGAGATATCAGAAACAAAAAAATACCGGACATACGTACGTACAATTTTACGTACATACATTTATTTTTAAACCTATTGATATGCTTTTAAATGTCTCAGAACGTAAAGATATGACTAAATCATGAATTTTAAAAATCGACTCTATTAAAATAATCTTTTAATAGGAAGTTAATAATTAAATATAATAAGAAAGTATTTTGTTAAAGAATTATTTTTTAATTATTATAAATACTTATCAGAATTAAATCTAAAAAAATGTTACCATGGCAATTCCAATAAAATATTCCATTGCGACTATTTAAAATTTTAATTTTATTATTTGATAAAAAAATATTACTCATTCACAGTAAATATTTTTTTTCAGTGTACTGTCAACAATTATCATATGAAACATCTTTAAACATCATTTCCTTTCTTTATTTAATCATTATTTTTCCCCTTGTTTTGACAAAAAAATGACGATATTTCGTCAAAAATTTATTTATCCAGCTCTTGTATATTTATTGATGAGATCAACTTTTTATCGAAACAGCATCCACTTATTTCTAATGTGTATCAGATAGGAATATGATAAAAGTGACATACTGTACTCAATTTGTTCATCAAACAAATTATTAATAGTATTCTCGGATCTCATCTGCTTAACCTCGACCAGCCAGAAATGTCGAAGGTCACTATCTGAATATTCTCGTTTATTTGTCTTTTTTTCACTTAATTCTATACTTATACATCAAATTAAAAACGAAAAAAAAAGGTTATCAAAAAAAAAAAAACATGACATAAATAACTAAAGTGTGAATTCTGTAATTTTTCCACCAATAACTTCTAGAGAAAGAGACAGAGTCAAAATTACATATGATACTATCAAGAATAATTCGCTGAATTCTACGAAATATCTTGCGAGATCAGACTCTTATGTCTACTAAGTCTGTTATATGTCGACTATTAAGAGATCAGTGAATCATCGCTGACAATCATTTAATTACCTAAAAAGAAAGTAGATACTCAGGATTCGTTGTAAACTTTAATAATATACTATTTCGAAAATTAATTATTCATTACAGGTATTCCAATAATTTTTATTAATCAATTTTTTTTTTTTTCTGAAAGACTATTTATTTTATAAATACCATAAAAATTTACAATAGAAAATTTCATAATTTTTCATAGTATTTACGTAATCAAGTATTTATTCTATTTGTACAAGTAACAAGTTTTATAATGAAAATATTTATTATCAATTGTCTCTAATATTTGGTTTAGTTTTATTTATTTATTTTTTTTTTTTTAATATACAATGAGAGATTTAATCATTAAAATAAAAAGGTATTAAGTAAATGCATTGATATTTATATCATAAAACTATGAAAAAAAATTCCCTTAAACTTCTTGAATTATAAGATTGAATAAAAATGACTTTCTCTCACTGTAAAACTTAAGTATTTTGATAATTATGTCTAAAGACAGTTAATACTATTAAATTGAAAATTTCATGATGCAAAAATATATGCGAATAGCTAATATAAGAATGAAAGAAATTCATACATAATGTGTATTAAGCTTACAAAGCAGTCATAAGAGTGATCAAATTAACTTTATGGTTAAATTCATATTCTTAGAATGTTGATTAAGTGACATCAATAATCGTGTGACTTCTTATCATAATCAGTGTAGTCTACGATTTGAAAATAAATTATTTGATATGACAAACTTAGTTAATTTAATTTTGAATATATTAATCAATATTTTAATAACTTAGAATAATTTTGTTAACAAAATATTCATTAAGACTGCACACGTCATCATCAAAAATCCAGAAGTTTTTGCATTAGCTGCAGAAATATCTAGTTTTTGGAATAAATCACTTGGTACATCAACGTATACTTTATCGACACCAATTGTTTTAATGAATGTTGATAATTTTTTAGCATCAACACTGTCATTACCATTCGACCAGATTGTTAAAGTTGACTTCTGAGCACTAGTGTTTTTTAATAAATTCTCCCAAAGGTGTATGTCGGTGTTGATGATCAGACCTGCTCTCACTGGATAAGTTATCGTTTGCGTTACATTAACGACTGTGTTCATCATCTCCTCAATCTGTTCTTTGGTGTAATTTCCTTCAGAAATATTCACGCTTTGTCCATACCTAAAAAATTACATTTAATATAATTATTTCTATTTTTACTTCATGGATCATTCATGCTATTGACCAACTTCATTATAAAATTTATTTCTATCTAATGATTGAATGATAACACAACCAAAAGATATTTTTACTCACTTTGTGGTCCAACCAATTGATAAAGTACTTTCAGAAAAGTTCTTAGAGGCTTTAGAAAGAAATTCTTGAGCATTGACCGGTGCAGTTGTTGCATTAACTGGACCACGAAGAATATCTGCATTCAACCACACTGGGAATGTCAACTGTAATAAAAAAATTCATCTTTTGAAGCAAGATAAATTTTCTAATATCCTCAAAAGCATAGTCACTGAATACAATAAATTCTTCAACTTTTTCTACTTCAATGCAACAATAAAGTTACAGTTATCTAATAAAAATACTATGAGGAAATAAATTTGAATAAAATATATCTTACGTTCATGCGATATTTTTCAAGGATTGGTATACTAGAGTTGAAAGCTTCAATAGTTTTGAAATCTAATTTGATTCCTTTTTTACCATCTTGGATCGTTGACATCAAAAATTCTTCAAGTGTTAGGTCACTAGAATCTTTGGGTGGATGAGCCATTATTGGCACTGTTTCGTTAGGATTTGAATTGACGTGTCCCAAAACTACATCAGCTTCAACCATCATGATTGATGCTGGAAAAAAATGATGAAATTTTTATTAGTCAACAAATTTGATTTAAAAATAATTTTATTATTCTCAGTAATTAAAATTCTGGTTCATTTGACCATATCCTAATCCAATAAACAATGCTTATGCACTCCTTTGTAAGAATTCTATAACAATTTTTTACAAATTAATTCTAATCTATTATTCATTTATTTATTTATTTAAAGAAAAAGAATAGATCCAACAGAATGAAGTCAATGTTAGGGTCACACAATGCCAAAGGCAAATACAATAGTTTTTAGTTAATACATTGAAAGAAAATAAAGCAGGTGCCAGGAATTATGCGATAATAATAGAGAAAAAAAAAAGTTTATAAATATATAGTCCAATAGATTAAGTCGTGAATCGACCATTTTGTTTTTTAGTACAATTCTTCAGTACCAATATTTCAGAATTATTCCAGAAGTGATGAGAATTTTTCCAGACTTTTCTCACTAATATCTCAAATTTATTTCAGATCGTTGTCAGAAAACTATTTCCATACCGGAACTACTTTTTTATAAATTCATTAACAATCAAAAATTAACTATTAAATGATTAGAACCTTTAGTTGTTGCTGTCTGAGGTCTTGATGTTACAGAATTTTAATTACATTATCAATCGTCTTATTTGATTATTAAATTATAAATTCTTACTCATTTAAAAAATTTTTTGCTTAAAATTTAATTGTAATAAATATTATTCTAAAAAGTACTTACCATCTCTCAGCGTTTGATTAAGGAATTCCTTACTGTTGACAGCATGTGCCCAGGTAACTTTGGTAAGATTTCCTTTAATTGTATCCTTGAAGAATTCTTTCGTATCTGGAGATACTGTTGCCATAATTGTTTCTGAAAAAAAATGGTTGCTATAATAATTTGTTACTATTTGATAAGCACAATGATTGATATTTTTTATCATCAAACAGCTAGTGGATTTTTTTTTAATTTTATGACAAAGTAATGCTAAAAATTATTTTCCCTGTTCAAAGAAAATTTACAAATAAAATAATTAAAAACTATATGTATTAATATTATTTATGATGTTACTCAATACCACAAGCGGAAAATACCAGTCAGGATATTTTTTATCATTAGTTAAAAAATCATTGATTCATATTGTGTGATATGATTACAAATAAATCGCGATAGTTAAACTTTCATGGTCATCATTTTTATATTTATATTATCGGTAGAGTTTTGTTATCATTGTGATAATTGAAAATTTGTGATTTTTAAGCACAAGTAGCTGATAAAAATTGCTATCAACTTCAATAATAATCAATGCTGCATCATAAATCTTTGATAATTAATTGTTTTTGTTAGATGTATCCTGAACAAACACGTGATAATGATACTGACACGTTTTAATATTATTTCCGGTTGACTGAATTGTCAACAGATGTCTTTGCTGCTTAATAGCATTGTTGGACACATGTGACGAGCAGTGTAAAAAGAGTTATATTCTGTTGAAAAGGAAATATAGAATTTTCTTAACACTTAAAATTATGACAAAAATAACTTATATATAATGCAAACACTTCAAACGAAAAATACTTCCGTTACCGTCAAATTGAACTCAGCAAAATATTAAGTACAGACACGAAGCTCTAATTAACCGAGAATACAAGTCATTGTTCTAAGTAGTCTAGTACATTCTTTGATGATTTAAGACAATGACTTAAGTTCAGTGAAACTTTGACGCTTGATTGAAAACACTTTCTATAAGCATACTATAGTTGTATTGATGTCTGCGGATAATTGAACTGCTCTCATGGTCAGCGAAAGCGTTGTAGTTGTGTAACCAACAGATTATGCACTATAACACGATCTAAGTGAGATACGTAACAAATTTGCGAACTCGAGAGTGCTAATAATAGGATAATAATAAACTGAAGAAGAAAAATACTCTTCGAAACTTTGAGTCAGAAACTTTTTTTTACATTTATTTATCAAAGTTTACCAGCTTAGATACCAAATTCCCATTAGAAAATTATTTTAATAGAGACGATTTTTAAAATTCGTACGTACGATCATTTGTACGTACGTATGTCTGGTTTTTTTCATTTTTGATTAAATGATCATTACCATGATTATATTCGATAAATATCAATAAAATATTGTTATAAATAATTTTATGCAATTAAAAAATTGTATATTATTTATAAAAAAAGCAATTTGTTTGAAAAAAAAATAAAAGATGATAAAATTACCGATTTTAATGGCAAGTTCGTCACCAAAGCACAAAGTACGTTTCGACCCATTTTTATCAATGTTTACCTGTTTAATTATTTGACAATTAATTTCTTCTTTTTCGGTATAATCTTTTTTAAATTCATGTTAGATAATTCCATTCTTATCTATAATTATTATTTTATTATTTTCACAGAAGATAATACTTAACTTATTACAATAAAATTCTTAGCTTTATTTTGATATCATTGACAGTAATTCTTCTGATTATTGAAGGTATGATTCTCTTAAAATTCTTCAAAGACTTGTGAGTCATAAAGAACGGTAATTATCATTATTTTTTTAGTGATAACTCGGAGAATAATACTTACTTTACATTTAATTATACAATTAATTTTTTATTTTCATCAACTCAACATATTCAATATTACGTGGTTGATACTTGAAGGTTTTTAAAATTAATTCTATCAAAAAGTTAACATCTGCGCTGGTTTCTGGTACAATCTGCTGTTAATATGGTGCGACTATACTTCAGAGTGTGTGCAAGGTTTATTTAATAGCACTCTTATCACAGGTTCATTCGTGTACACAGATAGCGCATACTAATTTTTTTGAATATAAATATAATATTGATATTTCACCATATAAATTCATTGTAAATCAATTTTTTAATATAAAACATAGAACAATAATAATCTAATCACCAAAAACAATTACATATTATCATTGTGGTGATAAAAAATAATGCAATATTGAGATTAAAATAGTTTCAAAACGTCTTTTTTTTATCCATCAAAATTCGTAATAACTGAAATCGTATTTATCATTTTTATAAACCCAACAAGATATGGTTCTCCAAATCTATCTTTGGCCTACAATTTTTATCATCACATAGTTCTAAGGAAAAATATATATGTCATGGGAGATCTTGAATAGAAAATTTTTGAACAATTATTCAGAGCAGTTGATAAACTTCATACAATAGTGATTTATTGATCACAAAAACGTTTTTTTTCAGTAAATATTTTTTGGTCGCGAGAGAACAACTGTGTCATCAAATTTTCCAAATGTTGGTTTAGAAATTACGCAGTCTGTTGGGGAATTTATGTTAAGCAAATAATCAGTATTCAAAAAAAAAAAAATATTACAATTGGTAAAGAATTGATAATAGTAAAATTTGGAATAATAAAACAATAAAAGAAAAATAAGGAAAAATAATAAACTTACGAGGAATGTATAGAAGGAAGGAAATGCAGATGACGAATGTACTTAAACCCATGGTGAAAATGAATCACAAGTGCTGATACGAAGTGTTCTTGGTCAACCGTTTAACTCGACTGTCACGAACCGACTGACTTTCAAGTTACGAGCTAACCGGCAACAGCCTTATTGACTATAACCGCTAAGTCTATTCACTTAGTCGTCATATACCTGATCATCAGTGGTTGTGTTGGTCTTTTTCGAAATTTAATAAACATCATAAATGAGTCTGATACTAGAGTAGGATTTGTTGACTTATTGATAAACATTAATAAAATTATAACATACACAGACTTACAATAAAAACTTGAGAGCTTTTTTTCAATTAAATGACAAAGAAATTGTGAATTTGTTCAGCAAGACCTAGGAGACACTTTACTTTCTCATGGTAAATTCTCGGAATAGAATGATGGTATTCATTTAGATCATACAAAGACCTTCTGTTTTGAAGACCCTTTGGTGTAGAGAGAATTATGTTGAAAGTCAAAACGACGTTTGGCATAATCTGTCCACGTCGAAGGCTTAGACCATTCATCCGGTGGCCATGATAATGAACGTGCTGCGATTTCTGTAGTAGAAGGTTTATTTATTATAATCGTTCTCAGAAAAGAAAAGTATTTTACATTATGCATTTTAATTGAATTAAATAATACCAACTTTATTCGATAATATTCAAATTATAAAGATTGGTCTAGCATTCCATTCTTTGGTGTAACTCTTAAAGAATATGATGGAATAAAATCTTCAATTTTATACTCAGTTCAAAAAATAGCAAAGATTTATTTTGACATACAATACAAAAATGATTTTCCACAGCATCAATAATTATTATCTAAAATAGTCTTTCTTAATCATTTTAATTATATTTTAGTGTCTTAATTATTATTGAACTTTGAGTGGAAATGATTTAATATAAAACAGTAGTTATAACGATTATAAAAATTTATATAAGAATATTTATCAAACATTATATATATATTTATATGTAATTGATAATATTTTGTATACTATTTTATCAATAGTTCATTAACTTTGTAATATTGGCACATTTGATGGCTGTTTATTTTGATATTTCAGCATGAAAAATATATTCATCTTAAAGTAGATAAGAAAACTTGTCAATAATAAAAAATATTACAATTCTACCATGATGGGTAGATAATTACATATATTCTATACGCTATAACATGATTAAAAAGTTGTATACGATTTCGAGATCTATTAAATTAATATCCAGTCAATAAATTGATCAGCTAATTTATTATTTTACTGGTATTCATGACTGATTTTTGATATTTTAATGATATACCTGAGTCATGCCATTCATTTATGCTCCACTTTTTAACTTGCAATCTCACAAACTAGGTCATGTTTATCTAAATTTAGATGTTCCAAAATACACGTTGGGTATTAGTAATGAAATTTAAACCTTCTCAGTTCTCTTCTTTACCTTATCAACGTAAAGTAGATACATAGCAACCTTGTAGAAATTTATTGTTTTGAACTAGTCAGTATAATTTGTACCAGACTGTCTTTTCAATGACAAATTATACTACTAACCTTGTACTCTTATCAATTATAAGCTCATTTTTAAATCATATCTATAATTTTTTTTTTTTACTAGTCCTTACAATATAATTGTCTATCATTTCTTTCATGATCATCACTTGTTACTGTTGTATCCATGTAGACTAATTCTGACTTTTTTCCATTTGATGTTCCAATAATTCTCATTTTTCCCTATAGCAAACAAAAAAATTAGTTATTAAAATGAACTCTGAATCACCCTGTATTTAAAAATAATTTTTAACAATTATTTAATAGTTTACCATTGTGCTGCTTCGTCCTCTTTGGAAAAATTGAATTAGAGCTACTATCACAAGCATTAGAGCGCCAACGATACCGATAATTATGCTTCCATAAAGGCCATAATTTGGTACCAATAATAATTGACTTAATTGCCAAGACAGTTCTTCAGTAGTTCCACCTCTTAAGCTAAACCAAAACATAGGGAAATAAATCTTAGGCACATTGTGGAATAAAGATACTGTTGGCGATGGTTGTAATAACATATTAATTTGGAACCGAGCTGCCACATCTAATGGTATTCCAGTTGTTGGTTCTAATGTAACATAAAAACTATGATCTTCATCATTGGGATTCATTCCACTAATTTGTTCTCTATATATTGGATCAGCCTTATGAAAATGTGGTAAACTAACAAATCCCGGTGCACCATAACGACAAGAGGTAATATTTATTACTCCCATTGGACTGCATTCACCATTACAATAACACTGTCCTATATTCACTATATCAGGATCCTCATCATTTTTGTTATTCCCTGTTGTATGTTCAGCACTAAAAAAATCTTCAGTCGTCGTTGTTCTTTCAAAGTATTTTGCATGCTCATGAGGATAACGTCGCTTTGTACTATTCCCTAACGTCTTTTCACCGAGTTCATATTTATATCCAGCAATACCTTGATGACTCACTGTTTTTGTATATTCATAAATGATAGGCCTAGAAAATCAAACAATGTTTTATAGACATTACATCAACTTTATGTAACAATAGAAAATTTTTTGAATATTAATATAACCACCTGCACAAGTCTGGAGTCCAAATTGTAATATCATCAGTATTTCTATGTGGAGGCCAGAACTCACCAGCACTGCCTTCAACTACATTACAAGGGCTTTTATAAAAGTTAGTTGTATCACGATGATTCCAGAACTTAACCATTCCTAAATTATTTAAATTATCTTCTCCCGTTGCCATGTTATAATATCCATCAAACATGGTTGACCCATTTCGCTGAAAAATAAAGAAAAAATTTTATGATCTAATAAACTGAAATTCACTGGTAGTGATTAATATTAATATACTATTCATTAAGACTAAAGTCCAATCTATCTGTGATTAATTATAAAGTATTACTTGCAGATATTAAAAATTGATAATCAACGTTAACTAAATCTTCTCATTTAATATGATTTAATGAGAACGTTATCTGGCAATATTTGCTTTGATAAAACAATGTAATCTTTATTAATCAATTCTATATCATTATGAAAATATTTCAATGACAATATTTTCTTGATAATAGTTGAATATAATTTTTTCTAAAGCCAATATTATTCGACCGGATAGAGTTAAATAATTACTGTTTTCAAATGGAGACAAAATTACCATGTAAAACCATCCGAATTTATCGAAAGGTGGGACCTCTTCATCATCATCAACTGCAATTGAAGCCATCTCTATGAGTGTATCACTATAACCCACAAATAATAATTCTCCTACAGTTTTTACTGTATATATCTGAGATGATTTTGACAATATCATTGACAAAGAGTTTTGCATAAGAAGTGACCAATATCTCACTTTATGAGAAGCTGACTAAAAAGAGAAAATTTTTTATGATTTTATCATTGTTGTTGGCTAAAAATATTCAATTGTCATTCGGCCATGAATGCTTTTTTAGACTTACCACAGCCACAGGATTTAGATTCACAATTATGTCGTTCAAGGTACCATTACTTCTGTCAGGATCAAAGTACCAGAATTTTTTTTGAAAATAGCTGACTGTACTATTTTCCGGATGAAATGTTATGTTCACTTTTTGTCTTTTTTCTCTATAAAAAAAATAAAAATTATATGAGAAAAATAATAAAAAATATATAGATACCTTACATAATTTCTTTAAATAATCTAAACGCTAACTTTAACATCAATGAAATAATTTATTTAAATGACAGTATACCATACTATATCAGAATGTTGCTGATGTATCATTTTTCTTATTAAGTACAGACAATCTTATGTCCTATATCACGTAATTGTGATTGACGTGATAATGGTAATGGCGTGTAAATATTATCGTGTTGAAGGTAAAGAGTAAATAAAAATTGAAAACAAGTTATTTTCATTTCGCGTTATTAAGATAAAAAAATTGTGACGTTTAATATAGTCTCTTTTATAGAAGAATTAATGATAACAGAAAAAGAATAATCTAAGGTCTGCAATCTTCGTAAAAGTTATTAATTAGACAATTATTTAATAGACAGTCACATTTCTTCGCCTACGAGTTTTTAGTCGTTGACAAGTTAATCAAATCATTTTATTACTCATTAAAAAGTCAATATCGTGAGGTTAATTATAGCTTCTCTATCGTTATTATTCGAATTATTAGTAAAAAATGTTTTGAAAAATTACAGACATTAACAAGTTACCTCGAACTTTTTTTAACTCTAGTGATTTTAATTTATTTTTCAATTACTTCTTCAATTATTTCTTCTAAAGAAGCATCATTAAATTAATTTATAATTATTGATAGAAAAATTCAAATCTATTTGCTTACTTAAAACTATATGGTCCCATTTGTATAAAATTAGGTTTGCTTCCTGGTATTCTTAATTCTTTTGGATTCGTCCAATTAAAAAAATAAAAATCAATATTCATTGGAATTTTTTCAGAATCCTTCCATATTTCAAAAGATCGTGACGTAGGCGTCAATGGCAATTCCTAAGGAATAGAAAAAAAATATATATTAATTGATGCAACAGAATTTCAATAGACGTCGTTAGAATAAAAATCAATATGTATCACTTTGAGTATGAAATAAAACGTGGAGGTACTCAGTTATACAGTAGCTAGTTCAGTGCAATTGATTAGTCTACTTAACTAATATAACATGGTAATTGAATTAGAAAAAGAGGCAATGGAAATATAAGTGTAGCATCCTCAACTATATATGAATACATTGGTCGAAGTCTCTACTCTTATTTAAATAAAAAAAGAATAATTTTAAAGATAAGATAAATATGCATTATTACACTGAGAAAAAATTTGCTGTGGACAAGTAATATTTTGTTCAACTAATAAAATCCAAATTTTAAATAGTCAAAATAGAATATTTTTTATTAGTTACTTAAAATAATTAAAAAATAACTCATCAAAAAATACATTTTTAATTATTTATATGATTTTATTATTATCAATATTAACTTTTTATGTTATTTATTACTGTAATATAATATGTTAATAAAAAAAAATAAAAATAATTCATAATTAATAAAATATAAATAAATAATTAATTAAGCTCATTATAATCTTGAATCAAATATTGAAATACATTTTTCAAGAAAAATTTCGTTAAATTCAATAAAATATTTTAAATTCTTTTTATTAATTAATTAAAAGTTTTGTTGTATAGAAAATTTTTTTTCTCAGTGTAGTTATCGAAAGAATGATTTTTACCTTTCTAAGTATGCTGTCAAACACAAGTGGCCAGGAGAAGAATAATGCTATACCAGTTATGAGCAAAAATACTCCAGTAACTCCAAAAAAAATTGACTTATTGGTCCACGGTTTCATGGTGTCTTCCTTTCAGTTATACTTTTCACTTCTTATAATATATAATTAATTTAGCCTTGAATAATTAACGTATTTTTCCAAATGTCAATCGTTCTCACTTTAGTTTCTTTTCACTATTCAGATCCCTGGGATTGTTGCTTTGGCTTCTAGACTTGATAAAATATATCTAATCTCATATACTCATACTCTGAGTACAGCTCCCGCGTGTAATTGTGGCTTCAACTGTAAATAAAAATAATTATTAATAAATTTCGATTATAAGTCATGATTTTTAGTTATCAAGTTCAGAGAAAAAAGTACATGAAAATTATCAAGATGAACTAAGTGAGGAAGTTGTTAATTGAAGACTCATACTTATCAATGATTCATGGAAAATAATCCTAAGATATTTTTTAGATAATTTTTTCTCTCAACAATCAAAACGTTTGTATTTATATATATAAACAAATATCTTTAAATATTTATCAATATAAAATATTTTAAAAATAATATATACTATACTTATTGATGTGTGTTCAACCAGTGAGTTATGAAATTAGAGTTAATAATTCCACTTAAAATCAAAGTGAACCAATTAAATGAAATGATTTAACACTTGAAATTGAATAACATTTATCATATATCTATTATAGACACTACGCCTGGAGTTCGAAAGTTATCTGCACATATAGCAGAATCATTCTTCTATTTATCAAATGATTGTATTGGTGTCTGTGATAGATTTCTATTCACACATTGACATTCTTCAAACTAATATGAATGAATGATCAAAAAACAGTGAGAAAATATTTTTTGCATGATGAGTAAATTTGTAATGGATAATAATTACATTAATAATGATTAATGTTGTTATTACAATAATTAAAATTATATCATAGCTAATTAGCTTTTTTTTTATAAATATCTTGTCAATACAATGTTTTTTCCAATTATAATAAATAACTTGGAAACGTGATTTGAATCATCATCATCATCAGCATTGAGTCCAAAAGCACGTAAGTGTAAATAATGATGATAAACTTATCTTTGATGAACTTTTGCATTTTATAATAACATTTAAATCTAATTCATAAATACTGCAATTAGAAAATCCATTGGTAATTGTACAAGATGATTTATTGTTAGTGATATTATTTGACGTAATAAAATTTCTATAATTATGGAAAATATTTCATAGAGTTTTTTATATCGCGTAATTTTTTTTCTTAAATTATCATCTGATTGATAGCATTACGAAGAGATCCAATGTCTAGAGGTCATATAGTTTAAAAAAAGGTGAGATATTTAACTTGAGTGTCAATATATTAACTAAACGAATAAAACGTTAGAGAAACCTTTTATAAAGACTTCAGGGCATAGACCACGTGTGCAGGTGACGATTAAAAACAGACAAGTCGCAATTTTATTCTTAGAAATCAAACTATATATATAACATAGTAATGAATCAAAGAATCGTTAATCGAGATAATTCTGTTTTAATGAGTATTATTTATGTGTTAATCAATACATTTGATCATTAATGCAGCATTAATATGCACAGGTAATACACACAACAATGTTATAATCATTCAAAATTGAATGTTTTAACATTGAAATAAATTCTGGTGATTATGTACTTTAACTTACAGCTTTTCGATGACCTTGAAATGTTAATATCTCATAGAAAAATTATGCTAAAAATTTAATATACATATGTTGAGTGTGGAAATGTCTCCTTAATATTTTTTCTTAAGTTGAAAAGTCCTTTTTTCAGCTAACGTTTAATTTTTACTCACATATTTTATTTTTTTTATATTGAGGAATAATGTGTAATTATGTTGCATTCTAATAAGAAAAATTGGTCTAAATAATTAGACCCCCCCCCCTCTCCTAACCCCTCTTAATCATCAATTTTTCTGTAATCATTATGAATCTTTAAAAAAATTTATCTTTATCTCATAAAAAAATTTATGTAGTTAAGCTTTTAGTTGAGAAGAATAATATTAATAATAAATGTGTTTATGAATTAATGACCTCAAAAAATATTTAAATTCATGACTCTAATTTCTTTAATACAAAAATTTGATGATTATAATTATCACAGAAAAGTTTGAAAAGCATTTTTCAAATAAAACCAGTTTGGTAAGTAGTATTAGATAGGAATAGTTAGAAGTGATCCTATTAAATACTTTGATTAGATAATAGAATGAAGATAAAAATAAAAACTTTAAGTACACCAAAATAATGATTGATCTTGGAAAATATTTTTTGTTAAATAACACAAAAGATCCCACATTAGATGATACCTTATAAAATTGTTAGAGTTTCCATAATATAAAAACCAGTTTCATTCTAGATATCAGTATCATTTGTCGAGGAAATATAAATTTAAATGACGTTTTCTGATAGTCACTAAAAATAATATTAAATAAAAATTATAATTTTAAAGATGATCTATTTTAACATATACAACTTTTACTTTTACTTTTCTTTCTGATTGGAATGATATTATTATTTAATAACTTTCAAACTGGCTCCACGCTTATGAAAATCATGTCTAGTAATTTTGAAAACTGTTTATCCTACTCTGATGTGACCTTCAGGAAACCCGATAGGCCCCCTTTGAACAAATATATGGTCAAAATGTGTTCAAGAAAAGTTCTTTGTGTTATGTTCCTTTCTCTAACGAAAATTTTCTCATGACGAGTATTAAAAGATTTTTTTTTTAAAATGAGTTTAGAAGAAAGAAAAAATGTATGTACCATATTAACTCGTTAAATCTTATTTAATTTAGTCAATTAAAGAGTTTATAAAAAATACTTACGTCGTTTAAAGAAGTCTGGTTGATTTGATAAGAAAGAATTCCATGCTTCAAGAATGAGTAAGTTTATGAGACAAAGAACAAGGCCGAATGTTATTTATGCTTAATCAACAACTAATGAAACTATGAAGATAAAACAGCTCACGTGTTTTGGAGCTGGCCAACCTCGAACGCGAGCAGCATTCTCTCGAATGATGTACAAACGACGACTGCCGAGAAATACAAAACATACGATGTATTTGAAGTTGATGTGCAACACTACGCAGCTGTGTGACTGCTACAACTACATTAACGCGCACTATGTGGTGAGAGAGGATTGTTAGTAATGAGTCTTTCAAACTCAGCGGATAAAGTAGTGAAAGTCTCCCTCCCTTTTATGCATCACAACATCAATGAAAGCATATGCTTTGTTACTTCCTACTGAAGTAAAGCCCAACGAACTCATTATTATAATGTCGCATAAACTACATGGTTTAGATTAATTCCAGTTATAAAACTTCCTTTACATTATTTGCCTTCATCTATAAACAGATTTTATTGGAAAAAAATTTAGGGTTATGGTTAGGTTATGTCTATAAAAAATTTTTTTCATTGTTTGATGAATTCATAACCATATATTATTGAAGTAAATAATGCGTAATATGATTGAAAAAAGGTATTTGAAAGTAAAATTTATTTTTTTATGATTTTAAATCAAATTAATTTGTCCAAAAATTCTTGTACAAAAGATAAAATTGTCTGGAGCTACTGCGTTGGCGGTTTAATTGGCGTATTAATAATTTTAGACGAAGCAATAGGGGCTTGAAAAGCAACAACTTACAATGAATTAAAGAGATGACTGGGTATGGTTCTGAAGAATAAGACAGCCTTGAATACACATTTTTAAATCAAGTGGAAGAATGAATGACAGTTGGAAGAGAGAAATGCAGTTTTTTATGATGAAGAAGAGAACTCTTTGGAACCTGAATTTTCAAAGATGAAGATCACTATCACAATGGTCAAAATAGAGACACGAGATTGAGTGACTGTTGGCAATAAATACCAACGATCTACTTACAAAATGGTAATTCTATCTTTTTCACCAAGGATTACTTAGTACTTGGGAAGCCTATCAAAAACTATATTCTTTGACTTTGCAAGAACGCTCCAAGTTTCATCATTTGGTTGCAGTAGACATGAGCAAATCGATTTCAAGGTATTACTTATTATTCTGGGTAAATAGTTGTTGATTTTGATTAAAAAAAAAATATATTTAAATATTTTAACTGTAAATAATTAAATTTATTTACATGAAAAAATTCATATGGTAACAGATAAAAGTGTTTTTTCAGCTACATGCATGTGCAATAAAATATAATGAGAGAAAAATTTTTTCGAATAAAATACAATTTCATTTGATTGAAAATAATTGGCTTAATGATTACGTATTACTTTAAAGCATTTTTTATATTATTATATACTGAGAAAAAATTTGCTGTGGACAAGTAATATTTTGTTTAACTAATAAAATCAAAATTTTAAATAGTCAAAATAGAATATTTTTTTGGAATATAATTATCTGAGTATTGGTTAGATTTGAATGCTTCATTGGGTTGATCATTTTCAAGATCCATGGTGTCTCAAAAAGCAAGAATTTTCTCAGAATTAATTAATTTTTTTAATTAAAGCAGCTGAAGCTTCAGAAGAGGCTTATATTGGTATGACATTATTGAACAAAGAAATCGAGTGTACGAAAAATTGAGACAATATGAGAATGACAAAGATAGAGGGTAGGTAATGAACTAAATATTAGAATACTTCTTTCAAACCAAACTTCGTGAAATTCAATAAAATGCTCAATCGTGAATACTTTAAATTCTTTTTAATGATTAAATTTATAACATTTTTTTGTGCATCAAAATTTTTTTCTCAATGTATATTTAGAATAACTTAACCCAAACATGATATTAATTACGTGTTTATTATTTTTCTCTCATTATACAGCCAAATTTTAATTAATAAATTTGGTTTGTGAGTTTAATTAAGCATAATGCATAAAGAAATTTCCATTAAAAGTAATAACGAACACATCAGAGTTGTTGAGTTTTTTCGCAAACATTATCAATACAAACAAATAGGTATTTTCAATTGAAATTCAATTTATATAAACTTTTTGTTATAAATTGAACAATTCTATTTAAATACCCACTTTCCATATTATGTATATCTTAACAAATAGAAAACTCAAGTTCTTATTTATTTATTGAAGGTTGACAAAATCTTTTTCTTATCCACCAGACTGCAGCTAATGCAGCTGCTAGGAATCCTATTCCAGCAACAACTCCCATTGAAATGGCTCTATTCCTTCGATACGCTGGTACTTCGAGGATAAATTGTTCACTTGTTGCTACATCGTCTGAATGTGACACTGCAGAAACTTCAAAAATATAGCTGCTTTCTTCCTCTAAACTCTTGACTGCAAAATACATTGGCTTGTAAGTACTACATCTTATCAACTCATTTATTCTTCAAATTTAATCAGAGATAAATGTGTACCTAAATAGTATGTATCAGTGGTCTCTGCTCTACCATGTAAATGTTTCTCTGTTGAACCTCGAAACCATCTTACAATATAAATCTTGATATCTTTGACGTTTGCAGGTGGTTCCCAAGTTACTAAATATCCTTCTGCAGTTGGCTGCACCTTGACATCTTGAGGAGGTTCGATACTTTCTAATTTTTAAATAAGAAATAAAATAAAATATTGATCAGCAAATGTTCTTACAACATATAGTAATGCAAAGAAAAATTTAAAGTTGATTGATACCTTGAGAGCTTCTGAATTCTGAAGCAGAATTGAGATTGACAGTTCCTAGAAAGTTTGATAATATTTATTAGCATTTTTAAAATTAATTTCAATTAACAAATCATATTTACCGGATTTTGGTTGCGTTAGGACTTTAATAGACTTGCTGAACATTCCATCACCATGTTTATCTTGACTCAAAACCATGAATTCATATTCCCTGCCAGGAACAAGATTAAGAACAGTTGCTTCAGTGATTTTTTTGGATGGAATTTTCATTGTTTTCCATTCTGTGGTATCAGTGGGTCGGTACCTAATAAAATAAATCACATTTTTTATTAGATATAACATAGTAAAAAATATAAACATTTATCTCACCAGACAGCATATTCCATTTTCGGTCTGACATAGCCAGGAACCCATGTCAATGTGACAGCAGTATGACTACTGTTAGCATTCAAGTTGTAGGGAGCTCGAGGTGGAACATTGAGTACCATAAGTTCAGCATCAGCAACCACAGTAGCAGCTTCGTTGCTTGCTGCACATTGATAAAGTCCACGATCTTGTTCTTGTATCCTTTCAATAGTTAGATTTCCACCATGGAGAATAGCCCGATCCTGCGAGAGTGGTGAGCCATCCTTCTGACCGAAGGTTGTGTTAGTACTTTCCCCCAGTTAATAAATATTTTTTTTTTGACATCTTAATGTTAGTTTATTAATAACCCCATGATAAGTTAATAACTATCGCTATACTAATTTATTTACTATTTTTTAAACCAAATAATTCACCTTGAAATCGTGAAAATTATTTATTTTATTTATAATACAATAGAATTCAAGTTGATTCAAGATAGAAAGCAAGTTGCAAATTTAAACTAGATACACTACAAGCATAAATGAAAGAACAACTAAACCGGAAAACTTGTTAATGTACGGAAAAATTTATATTGAACGGGAAACATACTTTAAACCAGACGATAGTTGGTGGTTGCGATTGATCACCATCTCTAGCATCACAAGGAATTTCCAAACTTTCCCCAAGTTTTCTCATATATAAACGTTGTGGTGTTACTGTAAATACTGGTGGTCTTTGAACTACCTAAAGTGATGAGAATAATTTTTATTAATTATTAACTTTCCATTAGGAACTTTTTATAATAGAATCGATTTTTAAAATTTGTAATATATTTTTAGGTTTGAAAATATTTGAACGCATATTAATTCTATTTTTCAATAAATAGGAAGTTCATCATTAGGGTACAGATCCATTTTTAAATGAATAAAAGATACTCATTAAAAAATTAGAACTCGATTGAATTATTGTGGATAAAAATAAGGCAGTAAGCTTACATAAATAATTGATAATAAAAGCAATTGAATATGATTATTATGTCCAAAAATATCATTTGAATAGCTTTTATAAGTGAATTCTTTATAAGGCAAATAACCGCACGTGCAATCATTAGCATTTATAAGTAGTTGAGTTATTTTTATTTTTATATCTTACTACAGAGATTGATGGGCTTGGACCTTCTGTACCAAGTTCATTGTATGGAGTACAACTGTAACTTCCAGAATGAGTTTCATCAACTTTACTAAAGTATAGTGATCCATTTCTACGGTAAAATACACCAGGAACATTGTATGGGTCGAATAAAAATCCATCCTTCTCCCAGCGTAGGTTTGTCAGAGGGGGATTCGCTCTAAAATGACAATCTAATAGAGCTGGTTTTCCATAAGGTAAAAATACTTCTCTTGGTGCATAAATGACCTTTGCCTTGTCTACAATGTCATCAGTATAAAATAGAATAATGTTTTAATAATTAATTTCACAAAAGGAATGGTAAATAAAAATTGTAAATTACATTGGACGTTAAGAAAAGCTGATGCTGACTGTTGGTCTCCAACAATGTCAGTTACGACACAAGTGTATTCTCCTAAATCACCAATTGCTGCTGGTTTGATTGTTAAAGTTCCATTATCATCAATGATAACTCGATCTCTGAGATCCTGATTAGTGTCATATTAAACATGTTATACATTTAGCTTCTTTTATCTATTCCAATAAATCAGATTCATGAAATCATTACCTCTATTTCTGCGATCTCTATATTATCACGCAACCAAGTGATAATCATATTAGGATCTTTGGTAACACAATCAAATTCAACAACATCTCCTTCCATAACCGTTTTATTGACTGGTGGTACAGCAAGTAAATTCTCACCTGAAACACCGTCCGTCGACGTCGACGAACCTGTGTTGAACGATTTAACAAGTCTGTCCTATTTCCGGTTAGTAACGAGCTACTTAACTCACTCAAATTTACCATCATCATAGAATTATTCTAATTAGTTTTACAATCAACTACTGATCAACCATAATAACTTTTCTTACAAACTCATGCTATTGTCAGGAATTTTTAATGTCATGCTTACATACTGAATACCATATTAATAATTCATCATCATTATCATCATCAGTGGATTCATTTCATTAGTTCATTTGGAGTTAGAAAAACATGATTGAAGAATTAAATCCTCTTGATGAACATACAGAATTATTGTATTTCATTGAAGGTAAACAATAAATTAATGATAATTAAAACAGTCAATTATGTTTCAGAGTTGGTGGGTGACGAGCATATTAAATGAGGATAAATTGATTGCATACGTAATCTCACCTTCAATACTGAGATAAAACCACGTGCCATTATTTCTAGAACTCGGTGACCTATCTGGGAATATGACCTTGCACTCGTACCAACCCTGATCACTCTCCCTGATGTTGGTCAAGTTGATACTTCCCTGTCCGTATTCCTGATTTGATCGACCCTCAAGCAAGTGGATGCGACCAGCATAATCTTCAGCAATCGAGAGAATACTATTGGCCTGTTCATTACCCGGAACTTCATAGTATGAAAACACTGTTCGACCCTGTAACGTTAGACGCATCAATTATCGTGAGTTAAACTCTTCGTGTCCTCATCCGACTTGAGATTTAGTTCATCCGGCGACTCTGTATATCATCTAATTTATTAAGCAGATTTTACTTGACTAGCAGAAGTGTTTGTTAGTAGATTTAATATTCTAGACAATTCCCTGATTCGCCTACGACATAAATCAAATATGAGAGTAATGAGTTTCGAATCGTTGATGTATGCTTGTTGCACCATCAACGTTAAACTTGATCACGTACGAATGCTATCAGCTACGTCGCACATGCAGATTAGCCAAAGCATAGTATTTAGTTCCGGTAATAATTTTAAATCTACACTAAATAGTCAATTAATGATTTATTCTATTCGAGTGATCAGAGTTTTAAACTTACTTCCCGGTTCCAATGCAAAATGTAAGCAATTGGCATTTCGTGAGGAAAATTAAGATGACAGTTGAAAACTACATAATCCCCAACAGCTGCTGTAAAGTTGTTTGCATCCTCTAACACCATCCCATATCCTAGTGCGAGAGACAAAATTAATTTTCACATTTATTGAATTTTTAAAAGAATAATTGAAGACTTAATCAAATACTATGAAACTCTAGATTTCATCAATAGCTAGAGATCTTTTTTATTTCCTTATCAATCACCAAAGAGGAATTTTTAGCAATACCATATCAATACTGTTACCTGCACAGCACAATGAAAAAATAAAAAATCCACGAATCCATTGATTGGTGTTCACAAACATTTTAAATGCCATTATGATGATCAACTATGATGAACTTGTTTAGTTACAATGATGATAAAGATCGAAGAATAATGTAACTGCGGCACCACGAGTATCACATGAGTCGAGCACATTTGTCACCTTCACCTTCACTCATCAATCTTTTCCACCCTCGTCAATTGTCATCATTTAAACCATCATTTTAATCGTTTCCTTTTTTTCTTTATCAACAAAAATTGTTTGAATATCAATTAATGCTAATTAATGATATTAAATACAGCTCATGTTAATAGAAATTTTATCTTTGAATTGTTACAGGAAAATCAATTGCACTGTCAATAGAAATAACAAAGACCAAGTAATGATTGAGAAATAGACCAAGTTGATGTTCAGTGTTACAGCGATGGAGAAGCACAGGAGATAACCATGTAATTGACAGAGCTTGCTTGCTCTTGTAAAGCGGATACAAACCAAGAATAGAGTGGGGGATTAATTCTACATTTATAGGCCTGACCAAGTATATTGTTGTAATCAGTAGAGGATTTGACGTGCCTTTATATTAGGGCGCGGTGGCCAGGTGTGTTTTTTTTTAAATTCCGTAGCTTTGATCCTCTCTATCACCTCAATCTTTTGTGATGCAGCTATTCACATTTCTATTCAAATTCTTCTACGATGCAGTTAATGCTGATTTCTAACATACCTTTTTCATTTTATGGAAATAAAAAAACCTCATAGGTACTTCAACTTTTAATAACTTGTAATAAAAATTTTATCTAACCATTTAGCTATGAATTTATTTTATCATTCTAGATGTAACGAGACTGGAATTCTTGGATTCGTTTTTTTTTCTCTACGAGTAAAAGGATAACAGAGAATATCAATGAACAATAAAAGCATCAGTTTATAATTTGATAAAAAATTTTATTAGAAAAAGTCGCAGTGATTTCCATGATGATGATGATGAGAATTCTTAAATAGATGAGCAGATGTGTGGAGTACATCGATACATCAAGTAAGTAAAGTAATTTTAAAAATAATTATATATGTATTATTGATGTTTACATGTCTTGAAAGTAAGTGGGATGAGGTAATGATAAAAAGCACATGTAGGAAAATAATATAGATAGCAAAATAAGAAACCAACAAGTGAAATCAGAGTTAGTAATGAGAGCAAATGACCAAATATTTTTTTATATTTCTCTACGTTTTAATGTAATGTTAACACTGCAGTATTTACGTAGGTGACCTCAAATTACGTCACATCCGTCCCTTGCTGTATTAGAGCAGACTGCCCACAGCCCACAGCCTTGTCACGCTGTTGAGATAATAGATCCATTCGCTTGGATCACGAACCAGGATTGAACGTGCTTGGGACACTGGAAATAAATCATTTATCACAGCCCATGTTATATTATTTAATTTGATTATAAAAGAGGGAATGCTCTTTTTTTATTCAAACCCTTGATCTTGTAAATTGGAAACAATTACGAATTATGGAAAAGTTATTTTTATTTGGATCTTTTCTTGAGTGTTGCTTCTCATGAATAATATGAATGGTTAATAGTTAAAATGATATTTAGAGCTTGGGTAGACTTGTAATGATAAATAAATAATTGGATATTTTGAACAATAATTCGAGAAGTAGATCGAGGCTATCGAGTTTGGCTGCAACCACTCTGCTAGACCTTGATACTGTGTGGTCACGCGTTTCTGAGGAAAATTAAATGATTAAATAACACGTCTGCTGAGATAACGACGTGTTTTTATTATAAATGACAAAGTAAAAAAGAAATAATTATTTTATTGAGGAACGTATAGATATGTTCCTCATATGATTCAGACAGACGTATCTCACAGAAGTGACTCTACAATATATATATGTTCGTCTATGCTGTACACTGAGAAAAAAATTCACTGTGAACAAGTAATATTTTTTTCAATTTATTATCTGAATGTTGTTTCGTTGAATTGATCTTTTTTCTTTGAGATCCATGGTGGCTGAGAAAGTAAGAATTTTCTCAAAATTAATTTTTTCTTTTTAATTAAAGCAACTAAAGCTTCAGAAGAGGCTTATATTGGCATGACATTATTTTGGGTAAAGAAATCGAGTGCACTAAAAATTTGGACAGTATGAGAATGAGAAAGGTAGAGAGTAGGAAAGTATTTAAAACTGGGTACATGTAGCGAAGCAGTTAGGGTTGACAATGATTAGAAAAAGAATAAAAAATGAAACTTTGAGGGCATAGGCTTGTGGAAAGACAAATAAATGTTTGCAGGCTCTGCTACTGAAATTAGCTAGAGTTAATCTAATGCCACTTCTATTTAAATATTTATTTTATACTTGATGTTTTTTTTATTAATTTATTATATTATTTATTGTTATAATATAATATATTAATAATTAATAATACCTGGATATAAATAAATAATTAAATAAACTCATAATCATGAATTAAATATCAAAGTACGTTTTTCAAACAAAACTTTGTTAAATTGAATAAAATATTTAATCACGAATACTTCAAATTCTTTTTATTGATTAAACTGAAATTTTTTTTCTCAGTGTAATATTTTTTTATTCACTGTTGCTCTTATTTTTCAAATAGATAACACGTTAATAAAGGCAATTGTAATGATTAGAAGTGGTAAAACAGCTCGTGTGTTTCGTATGCATCAAGCTGTGCATCAAATCATGGAAATTACACCAACTCTCATTATTAGTTAATGGATACACTGTTGGAGTTATTTTTTTATTTTTATCATTATTATAGTGATTGATTGTGACAATCAAAAATTTTCATCTTATTATCAATTTTATTTAATAATAAATTGTCTACAATTTGTCCTAATATTGTTTAGTACGTCACGGAGTATTCCTGGGTCATGAAAAAAGTACATGAAACTTTGGAATACTGATTTTTTAGATTATCATTTTAAATATTAAAATATGATTAAGGAAATAAAATAATCAAAATTGTGGCAGATACAAGCATTATTTATAAGCATAAAAGAGAATTTTTTTTTTTCATTTAATTAGAATAGAACTATTCATTTACTAATTTATATATAAAGAGAAAAAAATTTTAAAAAATTGTACAGCATTGATGCAACTCGAAGAAATTTTGTTTTCAAGACTATTAATATATATCGTTAGTGTTAAAGTATTAAATGATACAATTACGAAATAAAAAATTGTACTATATATTTAATAATAAGTAAAGATAATGATAATAATAATAATAATAATTAATATGAGTAACATCGCGCTTCCGGTTACAAGGCCAGTGGATCTGTACCCGACAGCCATAAGATTTATTTATTTTTTTTCGAGTATTGATCAGGTATTATGTAAACAGATAAAAATAAAAGAATAATGAAAATAATTTTAATAGTAATATAATTAAATTTGCGCGGATCTCTCAAGGACGACACCAAATGGCTTTCAGGTACGGAAGTAGGTGGGTCATCAATGCACGAAATATGAGCATTAACAATAATAAATATAATAATAATAATTATCAAAATAATATTAATAATAAGACTAATATATAAATAAACTAAATAAATTGCAAAATTGACACTGAATTAACAATAAAACGTATTTACAAAATAGATGTCACTATGATAATGAAAATTTTAAAGAGGATATTCGAAATTGGAAAATGATGTTGAAAAATCGTTTACAACAGATTCACGATTCAACCATAATATTATTTTTTTTTTTTTTTGTATCGTGCAATTTTTTTTGAGCGCACAACCGCCCCATTTAAAAGCGCATACGCTTGACACGGTGGTGAAAATAGTACATTTCACACCTAGGGAGGGAAAGTAGTCTAGCTCAAACCACGTGTAAAATTACAACCCGAGCCGAAGGCGAGGGTAGTAAACACGTGGTTTAAGCTAGTCTAATTGTCTTCTCTAGGGCTGAATATGATTTTTCGTCATACCTGCGTGGAAAGTTCAACCCCTCTCCAATGGAAAAGTGAACTTTCCGTGCGGGTATGACGAAAAATTCTTATTTAGCGATCCACGTGTGTCCTCTTGAGATCGTTGTATCTATGATATATCTACACTTTTACTTAAACTATCACTCGTCTACATAGATGGGACAACGACGTGTAAAAACGACGGTTTTTACGGAGGCGATTTAACCGTCACTTCATCATAATACCTTGTCCTAAATTAATCTCTGTCTCTTTCTCTCTCTTTTTTTCTTTATTTTACTTTGACATAAATTGTCGTCGCTGGGTTTTTATATCATCTCTTCATTTTTTTTTTTGTCATTGTGGTCCTGAAAGTCTGCAAAATACCAAATTAATCTCACTCGTAATAATTTTGTTAAAATTAATCTAATCAACGAGTTGATAATTATTTATATAGACATTTTATTAATTGAAATTTTTTATTTTATTTTAAAAACTCGTCTAAACTTTTGCAAACAATCAGGACCATGCAGACTGGAGCGAATATTTAATATATTATCATTAAGGCTGGGCTGTAGTAACCTCAAATCACCTCAAATTGTTTTTGGCAATTTTTGAATTGTTGATTTGTTTTTATCACGTAAAAGTTGTTTATACATGTACAAAAATGTGGCATAGAGGGTGGAAAACAACGTTTTATAGTGCAAGTACAGTAGTTATTGCATAATAAATCATTTTCCACTGGTCAGCTGATGACAAGTGCATCCGCCATGACACCTTAGACTTCTAAGAGTTCATGTTTATTTTCTTTTTTTTTTTTTTAACTAATATAAATCAATTACATCAATGAATATTTGCGTTTTCCACCTGAATTGGAACCGAACATCCATTTTCGACAATCTGCCAATAACTTTTGCCAAGAATTTTCTAGAGGAAATTTGGCTACAGCCCAGCCTTAACTCATATCATTTTGTTTCTGTTTGTTTTTTTTTTTTTATCTTTTTTTCTTTTTCAATTAATAATAATTATCAAGTAATATGATACAACGGCAATGGTCAACTAAAAGTCGACGTTCATATTAAAAACACATCTCCATGTCTCTCCTGCCTTCGTCGTCTCGTTGATTAATACACTACATACTATATTATTACGATTTACAATATTAATTAATTATCAAATTATTAATTCAGTTATTAGAATTACTTTAGAATATTGGTACTCTTTGTGTCACCTTCACTTCTTTTGTGTACACATATTCATTCGTATTAATATTATTTATTAATTTTTTCACACTCTCACTTGTTCACTTTTCTCTCATTCTCCTCCTCCAGCGTTTATTTAATACAGCTTTTTTCGACATTAAAAATTATTAATTATTCTCGTCGAAAGTATAGTTGAATCGTGAGTAGAGCCTTTACTAACCATTTTATCAATTATTAATTTTATTTATATAACTTTATTATCCATTTATTTATGTATATATTTTATGCATATGTATATAAATAAGTGTTTGTACTATAAAAAAAGTAAAATGTCTGAAGAGTCGGGGATAGAAGTATTTAATATTATTATAACTTAGTATAATTATCATCATCATTATCAATTAAAATTACAAAAGCACGAATTATTAAAAAATAAAATCAATTGCATTCAATTTTTTTTACATTTTATATAATTTCTCACATAAATTTTCGCAACACAATATTTCACAGTTCAAAGCACACACATTTTTCCTATAATTCATATGTATAATGTTAAGTATGTTCTAATTTACAAGGATTTAAAAATAAAATTTATAAATGTGGCATAATTAAGGTTGATATTCAATCCCCGACTCATGTGATGATTTGTTACAATGCGTTTGGTGAGAATTAGGTGGGATATTAAAGTATTACTGTGTAAATCCGCGTGTAATAGTGCGAATCGCTTAAAAATTACACAGCTTTTATTTATAAATAGGTTAGCCATCAATTATTAAGTTGGTCTTACTAACAATATAATCACCTGGACGTATTAGTCTTACGAGTTACTCGATGTTGCATGGATCTTAATGGTCTCCACACAATTGGATGAATAAGAAAAACAGAGCTAATAATTAGGACTACGCATGCGCAGAAGCGTTATAATGCAAAAGAATTGGCTTATGCGCATGCGTAGTCCTAATTCTTAGCTCTGTTTTTCTTATTACACCCAATTATGTGAAAGCTTTAATTCAACAAGATTCGAAATAGTCTAGTAGCCATTAATTTTAAGCCTTATTTTTAGATGCATTAATTAAAGGATAAGAATAAAAATTTGTTGATCGCGAATTCTTGTAGTGGTCAATGACAAGAGCATTTGTGCAAATTTTTATTACTCGGAAACAATTATTACTATTGTTTATCGAATGTCAAAGTTTTGCAAATTGCGTTTCAAAAATTTTTTATTCTTATTCTGTAATTAATGCATCTGAAAATCACACGGATACTAGACTAATAGATCATTTGATGCAACAACAAAGTTGTTTACTTAAAAATTATTAACGTTAATCAAACGATCTGAGTGTAAAATTTCTCAAAAATTTTTATTGATGTTAAGAAATCGAGTAACTCGAATTATTTTATTGATTTTTATTATTTAAATAATTAAATAATAATTATTATAATATACCAGGGATATATGTTTGATCGTTTGATGTGATTAATGCGAGAGGGCCAACCACTCTATTTTTTTATTTTTTATTTCAAACACATTATTTTTAATAATTCTCGTTTACGTTGCTTAAGAAAAATTATTGTGCCGATAATATGTTGGGTTACTAGTGAAACCCTAAATAGGCAGTGCAGTACGAGTGTGTCCTTAAGCAATCTTCAGGCAAGCTTCGGCCTAATATCACGTTTCGAGTCCATTGCTCTTCAGTTAATTACTTTTAAAATTTTTTTTTTGCTTCATTATCAATTAATTACTTACAATATTGATTAGGTTAACGTTGCTTCATCGATAAAAGGTATACAGCACGTGTTTATAATTTTCTTTGGCGTATGTTTGTGCCATTAACATCCCTAAATGTGTCGAAATGTTAACGTTGAGCCGTCGAAAACACTTCGCACACTTTCATTTATTTATTTATATAATTTTTTTTTTGTTATATAAAGGGATTACTAAATAATTTCATTTTTTTTTACCTATCACTCTACATTTCAAGATAATTATCGATTTCATCGACATTCGAAGTCTCCACGAACGATTGGAAACGAATTGGTATAGTGAAAATGCAAGATATGATGTTTATTACCAACCAACTTGGTTTATTAATTGTTCTTTAATATCATTATTCTTTATTTTATTGCCGATGATTCGCTAATTGAGTCGAATCGAACTTTAAATATATATTCTTTAATAATTTTTATAGAGAAACCGCTCTATAGTACTACTGAGATGATTGAAGAATATTAGTAGATAATGTTAAAACTGCACTTTTTTTCTTGCATTCTTGTTAATACTTTATGTATCAGAATGACAATTTTACATTGGTCCTCTTTATCTAATCCAGTACCTACTCTACACAATCAATACATCATCAGCATGCACTTTCCAAATGTTCACTTTGCCTTCGTCTGGCTTGTCTTTGTCGAAATTGATGAAACTCAGCCTTCATTGCTTGCACTCTAGCCTCAATACTATCTCGTGAATAACGCGAAGGTTGATGATACGTTGTTGTATGGACTTGATGTATGTGGGGTAATTGCATTGTGTGAATATGATGAACAGGCGGTCGCTCTTCTCTCGTAGGTGTTGATGCGGAAGTAGGTGTGGGAGTACACGATACAGGATCAAATTCGTAGTGGCCATCAACGCTACCAACATCAACAGCAGTGTGAGCATGATGAGATATTTTTACTGGTTGATCTTGGAGTTCCAGCCAACGTCCAAGAAGTGGAGGAGGTGGTGGTCTATAAGGTGGTGGTCTCCATTCTGTCACAGTGCTTCCACTACGAGAACTTTGATTTTGCTGAGAAGTATTTTTGCTACCGAAACCAGAGCTACTTGATCGACTTTCTGGTGATGTTTCATGAAGATCAGGTGATGCTGCAAGCTCTGGAGCAGATCGAGCATGCCTTGCGTGCCTTGGTGGTAATCTAGCACGAGGTCTCCCAGTAGGTTGAGGTGGTGATGAAGTAGCAAGAGGATGAACTGGTACAAATCGCTGGGATTCAGCATGAATAGCCTTTAATGATGGCAGCTCTTGGCTGTAACGTTGATGAAGATGTCGCAACTGTTGGTGATAGCCTGGTGGTGTTGGATAGGATCTCTCGATTGATGATGGTTGTCGAACAGAACTTAAATCACTTAAATATACCGTTGGACTCCATGGAACTTGAACGCCACTCGGTGAACTCGCAAAGAAGGCTGGTGAAGTTATGGTACATATCGTAGGCTGTCTCATTAGAGGATTAGTAATTCCAAGATAAGCAGCTGGTGGCATTGATACAGAAACACCACTTCCATCAGATCTCAAACTCATTTGACTGGTTCCAACAAGTGGGCGTCGCCAGGATGATTTAAGTCGACTCTTCTTTGGTAAAAAACCACCATCATCACTACTTGATGCATCCAGGATACTATTGTTGGCTGAACTCAGTACTGAGTCCGCTATCACAAAGCGTCCATCAGCTGCTCGTGAGATTTTACCAAGTGGACGACCCCGGCATGAATCCGGGGTGTCTGGATTCAGTATCTCTCGCAGAAGACTTAGACCTGGTACTCGGCTTTTTCTAACTCTACAGATAGATAAAAATCACATTAGTAACTGAAATTGTAAGCTTTTAACGATTTAGCGATTCCTCAATAAAAATCTTAGTCTCCTTTTTTATCAGTATTTTTTAGACTTAAACTCAAAGTGTTTTTATATCTTAAAGTAAGAGTATTTGATTGCAGTATCTTTAATATAAATAGAATAAATTTAGAATAATGTGCATTTGTGATTTTCATTTCAAGATTCGCTAAGTCGTTTAAAAATATACGTGCAACGACCACGTTAATAACAACAATATAAATAAAACAATCAACTTTAATAATTGATAATAATCAAGGATACAGGTGCAGGCGAGGAAGCATGCGCATGCGCATTCCTGTGCATAATTGGGCGTGAATTGGTGTGATAGGAAATTAGGTGGGTAAGAGTGAGTGGAAATTTTTCAATTGACTTTTTTTTTTTAATTCAATTTTTTTTTTTTTTATCATTCAATATTTTTTTTTATTTATTTTTTATTGTTTCGTGGTAGCAATCGTGGACTTAGGTGCTCCGTATCTCGTCACCTTTTTTCCTCCTTCGGGTCCGGCGCAGCAGGGAAAGATGGGGGAGAGAGAAGTTTGTAACACAACGATTACATTCACAGAAAAATAATGTGGTAATAATGATAATAATAAGAAGAATAATAATAATAAATATAAATATAACGCTAAATAATTCAATATTACTTGTCTAGGCGGTGATATTAGGGAGCAAATAGATGTGATCAATATTTTAGATATTTTGTATTTCAGTGTCTAAATTTTCTCTGTGCTGTTATTATTTGATGGAACGTCCAGTAATGATGCTTCTTACATAATGACATTTGATTTACAGATTCAAGGGAGGGTTTTGGTTGTGATTATGAATTATTTAATGATTAAAAAAGCTTCAATAAACCACATTAGTGACATGAATTAACGACGATATATTTCACGAAAAAAATAATAATTTTTCTTTTAGTAAAAAACGAATATCACTTGAATTATTAAAACAAATATAGATAAAAGTAGTTAATAAACCATGCAAAAATACTGATAATCGAAATTATATATTTATAATTATTATTTTATTTAAGATATATTTAAATTTAAATACGGGTATATTCAGCAAAAAATCAGCTGAGCATTTGTAAAAGTAGATAGATATAAATAGAAAATAGATAATAGTGTAAAAGCCAAAACGGCTGCTACTCTCGGCGATAATAATGATAATATTATATAATAATAAATATATAGATATTGATAAAAGTAAATATAATATCGATTATTGAATTCTAGTAGTAGGACGATACACTGAATAGTACCGTGCAAACAAACGATAAAAGAGCGACGATGAAAATCCGAATAGCAGCTGTGCACAGGAGAAATGGGTACCTACTTTTATTTTGTGCGGTGTATGAGTGTATTTCATATTTATTGATCGTCTAAAATTGAGAAACTGAAAAGAATAAAAAAGAGGAAGACTAAAATCTGTAATAATTCAAATGATCCATTGAAATAATTAACGTATGTGGTCGCGTGAATGAAAATGGAGAAATAAAAGTTATCACGAACTATGATTATTTTCGTGCGTTTTAGCTGATATGAGAAAGAAAGATAAATGTTGAAAAAATATGAAAGGTTATATATATATACATGTACACTGAGAAAAAAATTTTTGCTATTCAAAAAAATAATGTTACTCAACGTTCAAAATGATAAATATATTAATTACAATGATTTTTGTTAATAGAACAGAAAACGTAACTTTACACACGGTCGGTAAAACACCACTTTCCTCCCTCGTTAAGTAATATATTATTTTCAGAACTATATCTATAAAAACAATAGCATGTAAATTAAAAAAAAAATATTTCATTGCGACAATTAAAATTTTTGATTTTATTACTTGAAAAAAATATGACTTATTGATATAAAATTTTTTCCTCAGTGCACGATGCAAAATAGTTGATTGAAAAAGATGAAATGAAAACATGAAGAGTTAAAAATAGTTATCAAAGCGACCACACACTGATTTTCCTAAGATCTATGTACTCCCTAGGCCGCCGAGCGAAGGTAGAGGGTACTGACTGGAAGAACTAGTGAGTCCTAGCTGTTTGCTGAACTGTTTTGCTCATCTCATCTACACTCATGACAATCATCCTAAGTAGACAGTAGGTATTGGATGTAGTAGTAGATTAGTAGGTCCTAGCAGGTAGTAAGATTGCAGAGTGGAGCGGTAGTCTCTTTTTTTATAATGTTCGTTTCGTTTCGTTTTTGATCGATCAGTCATGTCGATCAGTGACTGGTCTGGGTACTGGTTTGGCTAGCGGAGATTAGGCTTACTGTTCCGCCTCTCTATGATAAACACGCTGTCGTATTCTCGACTATCGAGATGTAGTGCATGGTGGTCACGGTCACGATTCAGGGGAGCCTCGTGGACCTGCTCCGAGGTGGCAGTGACGGGGGTTACTTGCGTAGGAAGTGGTTGATGAAGAGGTTGTGGTTGCGGGTTCAACGGGCTGCAACGGGTCAGCGTCGATACTGACTCGCCGCACGCGTTTAAGTTTGTCGACCTACAGAACATACAGAGGACAAGGTGGACACCACGTGGTGTAGTTGAACATCATTTAAATAGCTATTCAACGAGATCAGTGATATCCTTTTTTGTTTGATCTACATGTTACTTCAATACTCTCATCAAATTTACATTTTATGTCTTAACTTTTCCTCCTATATTCCACCTTCTTTTTAATCTAATATTTTCCATTATTTTACACTTGAGAGTCAATCAAAAAAGCTTCACTGTTTCACCAAAGCGATTACCCCAGTTCCTCTCACTAATTTACTTTTCATTCTTTTCCTTATCCTTCTTTGCGCATATTTTATATCTTATATTATTATTATTTTTTTTTTTTTATTCATTAAACTTCAATTAACCTAGCGCAGATCGAAGGATAATTAAATTCCTGGCAGTGGCTGAACCGTCCAGCCCGTTCTGGATATTATGTAGGCACATGGATGACATCAAGATCGATGAACGACAAAAATCATATAATCATTTATTATTTTAATGAATTTTACAAAATAATTTAAATAAAAAATAATTAAATTAATTAATCATTTGATTTAAAAAAAAAAAAAAACATCAAAAACGTTTATATTTTCATTTATTCACACTGAGAGAATATTTATTTTAGAGAATTTTAATTAATATTCTAATTCAATAACACAGTATGGAATAATAATTCACTTAAATATCTTTTAATTGAAAAAAATAGTTAATTTGAATATTAAATCATTCAATTAGTATTTTAAAAATTTTTCTAGATATTAAAATATCTCTCAGAGTGATAAATAAGTGAATGAATGAATTTTTTTAGTCATGAAAAAATGATCAACAATCGAAATATATAATGACATATTCTGTAACGTAATAATAATCCAGAATAGGCATCACTGCAGTCGTATTGTGGACTTTTGGATGCCGTATAAATAATAATTTACGCTTGAATATTTGTTTTATACGATAAATTGTCTATATTTTATATTAATAAGTATGTCAGTTAATTATGTGATTGCGTGCTTGTGTGTTGAAACGTTAGCGAGGGACGACCTGCGTGCACGAGGAATGTGATAATCGAACCGAGTGCAGGGATTAATTCGTCCGTTATGTTGAGTAGTTTTCCGTGTTATAATAATATATTACTGCGTCGCACTCCAACCTCGTCCAAAATACCTCTGCTGCTGCGGTTTAACCTGCCGGTCTTTCTAAATACATATCTAAGGCTCACTGTTTTCCATAGATGAAAATCAGAAGATAAAAATCATTTCCATTTTCATTTGTCTTCTGATAAAATATTATTGAAACAATCCACTACATCCATTTTTTTTATCTCCTTTCATCTATTGCTCCAATACATATATAGTCCAGTCAAAATGCTTCGAAAAAAGGGCGAAAATTTGAAGTTCCTTGGATATTAATCGATCTAGCTTGATAACCATATTTTTAGTTTTTTGTTTAGAAAGAAATCGCATTTATTTTATTAAATATCTTGAAGACAACGCATCGGAAATCAAAACATGGTATTTATAATTTCTAGAGATTTTTATGAGGAAAAAAATGAGACCAGTCTCAACTTTCTACAATTAATAGTTCTCGAGATATTTAATTGTTAACGTGAAAAGTACCACTGTTTTTTAAACAATTGATTGTAGTTCATCAACAAATAAACTTTTTGAAGTTTTTCTTTTTTTAATCGGAAGCTACATCTATGCCAAACGCATTAAACAACTTGGTATTAATTAAATGTCATTACTTTTTAAAATAAAAAATAGAAAGTGCTAATTGAATAGAATTTATTATAATACATGTTTTATTTTAAAAAAAAAGGTAATCAAGCTCAATCGATTTATTTTCAACGGACTTCAAATTTTCATAGTATATTGACTGAACTAGATATATATATATACACATGTATAAATAATTATAACTCATATTTATACATGTTTTTTTGAATTTACTCTAATAAATTGATCGTGAGAGGTATCGTTATTACTGTGGTGCTTCGGTGGCCTATTGCTCGGGGACTTAGATGCTAATTCTTGCTATTCCTAGATTATAATTCATTAAATTCCTTTCAAATCGCATTTGTAATAGCTTATATCACATAAATACTACATTTACGAGCTCTGATTATTGTTAGATAACATTACATGATCATTTATTTCAAACAATTGTTGAAGTTCACGATGATAGATAAGCAATGTATTACAGATGCGATGAACAATTGATAATATAAAAAAAAAATAATTTCACGATTCCTAGAGTGGGACGTGAGTAAAGATAACTTATTATATTTTAGTAGTGATAAAGATAGAGTGAAGAAATGTGAAACTTACTTTTTCAAAGGCACTGTTCCGTGGGGCCCCTGGCCGGCCCCATTTCGGGCATCTGTAGGTCGGCAGGCTACCAGATTATACGCTGAAATCAGTTCTATAATTTTACAAAAAATATATATTAATTATTTATGTAAGAAACTCATCCTTAATAAATGAATATCGCTGAACTCTACCACCAAGAAGTTCATCTAATATTTAATATAAAATTTTTACCTTTCTCTTGTTTTCGTCGTTTCCGTTTATTACATATTTTAACCGCACATATGCTGAGAATAATCGCAACGATGAAAAAAAGTATACCACCTACAACTCCGGCAGTGATGGCCTTGTGTTTTACACGCGCGGGTACTGGAAATTTAACTTGCTCTGTCTCACTGTGTGTTGTTGCAGAATGAGCGAATACCTTAAAGTAATAGGTTCTTCCACCAACCAAATTCTTCACTAAAATAATACCAAGTTATATTCCATTAGTAAATTGATTTTAAATACTTTAATAATCAATTGTTAAATAATTATATGTCTCCATCGATACATATATTTGTTTAAATTAGTTCATGACTAAGACTAAGTACACATCAGACGTCATTTTCCTTAACTTTGAATTGGTCCTGTCATTTTCAATAAACTATTTCTTTTAAAATATCTTTCGGAACATGTCTAGAATGTCACTCCATCCCTGCAGGGGGTTAAAGTTGCAGGAGATGACGTAGGAGGGTTTCTAAGAGCTATTCTTGTTGAAATTTATCAGCGTACATCCTTAAAAAAATTTATTTTAAGTAGGGGGGTGTGTTTTTAATAACGCAGCAATTTTATTGTCATTCAGAATTTTTTTTAATATAATTAAGTTCATTTGGATATATTTTATATTAATTTTTTAGGTGTGTATTTGCTGGATTTTTATCGTTAACAATTTTTTTAAGGGATGATTGCCATGATATTAAGGATGGACACCATTCAGAAGACCCCATCCTACCACCCCTAGCAATCTCAACCCCTTAGGGGAGTGGGATGACATTCTAGACAATTACCAATCTTTTTTTGTTCTGTTATTTTACAATATCATTTACCTAAGTAACTAGTTTCTTCAGGACGAATTTTTCCTCTGTTGAGATCCTTCCAATGAGTATCAGTTTTATACTTGATATTGTAGTATTGAACAAGATGACTTTTCTCCAAAGGATGTTGCCAAGTAATAAGAAACCCATTACTGATTTCTGTTATTGTTAAATTTCTTGGAGGTCCTGGCCTTGGTCCAGCTGTAAATGAATAAAGTTTCACTAGAAGATCATTTAAAGAATAATTTTCTTAATGTTAATAATTATTAGACAGATTGAAGAACATTTACAGAATTCCAACTGTCACGCTTATATATTATTTTAGAAGCAATATTCTGTGAGACTAATAGTAGAATTATTTTCGTAATAACAATAGTTAAACAACACCAATATCCTTCGTCAGCGACAGCTGGAATATGTATTACCTTGCATTTTACGATCTACTGAGTGGACGAACGACTCCGTTATCTGGAATCGCTGACTACTCAGCTGGACAATTCAATTATCTCGAGTTTTCTTTTGGAAAACTTCTTATTTTTAGTTATATCATTATTTTTCTTACCATTCTGATCTGACGTAATACCTCCAGAATTTATTGGAGTTGTTGCTGGCGGTGCAATCCCAACATCTTATTGAAAATAAATACAAATCAATAATTGAACTAACAAGAATCATATCTTTGAACAATTTAATAAATTATATATTTTTACCAAGTGTTCTTATCGCAGTTATTTTACTCGTCATATTGTCACTGATTGCATTTTTCCCAACTACTTGAAACTCATAAAGCGTTCCAGGCGATAGACTATTGATCGTTACTGATGTACTACCGGAAGGAGTAACTGGTATTGGAGTTTTCCAAGTTTGCGTGCCAGCTTCACGATACCTGTCAATCAAATTTTCATTTAAATAAGCAATAAAAAATTTATTATTAATTTAATTTATCTCTAATTATTGGAAAACTCTAGTAGAACATTGACTTTTTTTTTTATAATAAAAATAAATATTTATTAAACTCATTGTCGAGTAAAGTCAATAAGTCTGTAACAAAAAAGATGCTGAGTAAGATTTATTCAGCCCCTGTTAATGCTGATATCTTTAAACAACATCATTTGATCTGACATAATTATCGTGGTAGATAAGATAAGTACTATTAACTCACCAAATCGTATAGTCTTGTTTGTAATCAGGACCACCGGAATAACCTGGAAGCCAATGAAGCGTCACCGAAAACTGTGAAGGAGTTCCAGTGACATTGTAAGGCGCATGTGGCTGAGATCCTTCTACAATTAATTGAGTTGATGACACAATTGTTGCAACTTCATTCGAGGCAACACATTGATAATGTCCAAAGTCTCCCCGACGAAGTCCCTCTATTGTAAGATTTCCCCCTACAATTTTCGCTCGATTACGTTCCAAGGGAGCACCATTACCCTGGAAAAACAGTCAAATTTAATGATGAAGATAAAAACTTCATTTATTAACTGACTTGCAATACTAACTCTCTGCCATTGGATTGTCGGTTTTTCCGTTCCTTCAGCTTCTTGAGCATCACAACTCATTTCCACTGTTTCTCCAACTTTTCTCTGGTACATTGGCTCTGGTTCTATTGTAAAAACTGGTGGATTTCTCACAAGAACTTCCATGTGTCCTGATCCACCTTGAGTCCCATGAGCATTGTAAGGCGTACATGTGTATTTTCCCTGATGATTCTCGTTGACTCGCGTAAAAAGTAAAGAACCATTATTCATTATCACGATATCCTTAGTCTGATAAGGCTCAAGAAGACGTTTATCCTTGGTCCAAGTGACATACTGAAGAGGAGGATTAGCTTTTATGTAACACTGAACGACACCAGCCAACCGAAATGGTAAGAATTGAACTGTTGGTGTAAATGTCACCTTTGCGGGATCTGAAAAATTATTATCAATTAGCTATCATATATATTGGAATAAATTTATTTCATTATTGAATTCATGGGTTCCCATGTCTAAACTTTTATCAATTTATTTTCTAGGCCATCTTATTTTTTCTTATGCTATTTTTTTTTCTATTATTATCACATAATTCCCCGACACCTGCTTTATTATCTTTAAATTCGTTAACTACAAACAATTGTATTTGCCTTTGGCATGGTGTGATCCTAGCATTGGATCCATTCTGTTGGGTCTGTTTTTTCTTTAAATAAATAAATAAATAATTAATACTTACATTCAACATTTAAATAGGCGGTAGCACTCTGAGGCTCACCAATACCATTCGTTACCTCACAGAGGTAAAATCCAGAATCATCGGCACTTACTGGATTGATCACTAGACTTCCGTCCTTTCGGATGGATACTCGTGTTTCTAATTCAGAAACTTCAGTAACAGGGGCACCTTCACGAAACCAACGAACTGTCACATTGCCCGGGAGAGCTTTTGCTTCACACGGAAATTGTACTTTTTCACCTTCAAGTTTTGTTTGATTTGTTGGTGGTATAGTTATAATAGCTCCTCCTACAAAATTCAATCAAAATAAAATCTTCAATCTCTCTTTTTATCAGTGAAATGAGGGAAAAAATTTATTTTAGAAATTGAATAAATCAAAGCTGTAACATCATTCCTCAAATTACTCCTATTTTTTATAAGAAATCATATCGGACAATCTGTATAATTGAGTAATCGATATTTGGGGTGAAAAAAGGGACTTGGAAGCGGAAGTGAAGCTACTTTGACTAACGTGAATTTTATAGCAGCTATCGGGCCTTGGTAATGCACCGAATGATAAATTTTACGACCACTTCAGAAGGCGAATGTCACGATTCTACAGAGAATATACCTTCAAGATTGAGCATAAGATCGTCAGCAATAAGATAAGAGAGTTCAATTGACTTTTTTGGGAATGAGTTAGAAATATTGGGGATTGTTATATGAATCATACCAGCGATAACAACGCGTGCTGAGTGGCTAATTTGACCCTCTCCATTTCTTGCGATACATGTATAGTCACCAATGTCCTCATTCTTGATTGACGCAATTCGTAGTTCCGTGCCCTCATTGAAAATTCCGATAGTACTCGAGGTCGTAACTGGATTGGCATCCTTGTACCAAACTATTTCCGGCGTTGGTGTACCCTCAGCTTGGCAATTTAGTATTATAGCATCACCCAGATTGACGTAGATCATCTCTTCGGGAGTCATGGTAAATCGTGGTGGTGCTAAAAGAAATTTTATCATTACAAAATTGTTTTATAAAGAAAACAATTAAAATACCTTCTAATATGGTTTAAAATTGCTTGTGTTGATGAATTTATTCTTAACTTCCCATTGCAATGGGATCAATTTTTGAATTCGTAAACAAAAAAACCAAAAGATGAAAAGATTACAAATTTGAAGGATTATGTACGTATTAGAATTTTTCTTTCAGAATATTAAAATAAATAAACCAAGTTGTATTTAATTATGGACAATGTTGTTGAAGGTTTAATGAAATAATGAAGTAAAGTGATAGAACAAACCATGAACATCCAAATGGAACCAAGTGCCATTTTTAGGACTGTTTGGTGATCTGTTGAGGAAGACGACCTTGCATTCGTACCATCCTTGGTCATTCTCTTGAATATTGGTGAGGTTGAGACTAGCGATACCATAATGTGAGTTTGGATTAACTCTTGAAACTCTTCCTTCGTAGCCTTCTCCACTGTGTGTCGGATACGACTCGTACCAAATGTAAATTGGTATTTCCTGCCCCTTGCACCAACACCAACACGCATCATAAATGAGGGATCGTGGCAATGATATGTCAGTCAAGCTGGTGCAAGCAAATCTCGAGCGAGCTTTATAACTCATATACATAAACGTAACCTCTATTGTTACTACTAGAAAAGCACACTTGCACCAGCTTGTCATTGAATAAGAATAATGAGCCAATGGATGCAGAGCATGACATGGGTGTAACTTCCGATGAGTAGGCAGCTTCACCGGAAGTCATCTACCCGGCTGAAAGCCTCGTATACAGATATGTATCACGTTGATAAAAATCACCGAAATGAATAAATCGATAGTTGTTATTCGCATGCCAATGTCTGAATTTTTATTTCATTTTGCTCTACTTTTTTTTGGAATAAAAATAAAATGACTATTACCATCATCTACTTTTGCTATTGAGTATTATAACTACTGAATGAGGCAACTTTGTGTTAGCATGCAAGTAGCGTCTATTGATTGGTTATTTATGTAGACTAAATATTAGTTAAAATATAGATAAGAGAAAAATATATTTCATGCTTTGTTAAAGGTTTTATCAACATCATCGAATCTCTAAAGTCCCACATGTAACTACTAGTGTTTGACATAAATTCTATTTGTAGCCTGGCCTACTTGCTACGATCGAATTCAATATTAATCGGTCCTGGCGCTTTCTAAGCTCAATAGATATTACCTACAACTCTAGGTCTCCATATCGTGTCCGTTGCGTTATTCCGTCAATAACGGAAATAACATCGCCGGCCACGAGATTATACGTTGTTATACCTATACGACATGAGTTGCAAGATATGAATCAATATGCAGAAACATACTATTTATGAGTTTCTATATCAAGGATGTATCCATATTCATAACCTAAACATTCGTAATATTAACATTTTTAACTACAATTATCATTCGGTATGTGGGGTTTTTTAAATTTTATTTTTCATTATTCATAAACGTTTTTAATTATTATGCAACCACTCATAGGCATAAGGTGAGAGTTGATTTAGGTCAGACGGAGTCTGTCGGGCGTATACACTATTCTCAGCGGACAAATTTTTATAATTCATCCCTTAACGACAGGGTGGGCTTGGCAAACTCTCTCACTACCAGGAAACTTTACTGCCGATGTAAATAATCCTCTCTACCCTTCTCTGAACAATGAGAAAGCCATTATTGTTCTCGATTTTCATCTTATTGCTCTATTATTAATTCTCATGAGTTTATAAGTACCAGGTGTTGATTTTTTTTTCGACACTTTTATTTCGCTTTTGCTCTTTCTTACAGCAACAATCGACCAAATTTTTCCTTTGTCATAAAAAAGAAGAGGAGATGGCTTTTAAAACGGACTGAGAAGTAAATTTACTGTGTACAAGTAATAGTTTTTTTAACTATTAAAATCAAAATTTTGAATAATCGTGATAATAGTATATTACGCACCGTGGGAGGAAAGTGAGTTTTTACAGATGTGTGTGAATTTACATGGAAAATTATGTGGTCTGTGATAATGACACAGATGATTTTCTAATTTTCTGTGTGAAAAAAAAACGTTACTTTTCTTCACCAAAACAGAAAAGGGAAATTAAAACTTTTCGCAGTGATGTGACAAAAATAGTACATTTCATACCTAGGGAGGAAAAGTAGACTAGCTCAAAATATGGGTAAAATTGGTAAACACATGATTCAAGATAATCTAATTGTCCTCTCTAGGGTTGAATATAATTTTGTGTAATACCTATGAGGAAAGTTCAACCCCCCACTAATGGAAAAGTGAATTTTCCGCACGGGTATGACGAAAAAATACATTTTTTTGATTATACATTTTTATTGTGATCGATTATTTTGAATAGACTTATCTGAATATTGATTTGTTCTAATATTTCATAAAGTTTAAATTGAATAAAATACTTTATTGTGAATATTTTAAATTCTTGTAAAAAATATTTTTAGTTCAATAGAAATAATGTGACTAGAATGTTGATGATATTTAATAGCAATGATGAAAAAATTAATAGAAGGATAACGAGTATTAAGATGAGAGTAAGTCAAGCGGGTCGAGTAGCTTTCATCTGATGATACATTTCTTCATCTTTTACATCTCAGGTAATAAGCTCTTGTTCACTCATACATTGGGTGCATCGAGGGCCAGTAACCCTGACACACTCGAGTGCTTGAAGACTGGGTTTAGTAGAGTTTGCATTATGCACATGCGACCTCTTACTCGTATGGTCATACTCTCTCTCCAAGATTCTCTTTTTCTCTTCATAATATACATCGGTCTCTTTTGGTGTTCCAACCCCTAACGTCATCGTAACCACGACCTAAGCTTATACACGAGGCCGCGAGAGGTGCTCTCTGTCCTATTTTTAAGCCAACTACAGGTTAACCGGCTAACAGTCAATCGATACCCCTAGCCAGCGTCTCTCAAACTCAACCCTTTACCCTTTATTTTTTCTTGATATTTTACTCATTCCCACAAGTACTTCAATTAGACAAGTTATGGCTACTGGCATATTGCTGAAAATTAATTGTAAAAGCTTCGTACACATTTGCACGCGTTATAGAACATTGGTGGAATTTTATGCGGGTTCCTCTTTCATCCGCAAATGCTTGACCCAAACCACCAAAAGCTACCGGAGCGCAAATAAAATTCATTCCCGTGTTTGCCCGGTGGCCATTGCAAATGGCTATTCGTATATACGTATGTGAAAAGCGGACGTGCGCGAAGCTACCGTCCACTTTTAACCTCTGACCCTACATTCACCTTCTCTTTTTACTCTTTCCATACTCTCACCGCCGACTATCCCACCCTGATGCACACCCACAACCGGCTGGATCTGCAAATTACACGAGATTGAAAGAGCAACCGACGGGTGATAGCCAAGAATGCTTTGGAATTTCAGCAGATCCATAAAGCATTCCAATCGTTCAACGATAAGAGAAAAGAAAAATTAGTTGTCATCTCCAGACATGAAGAACAGAAAATATCAAAAAAAAAATCATCATACAATATTTTACTTTTTGTCTATTCTTTCCTTTATCTCAGTCATTTTAACCGACATTATTCTAATGAGTACAATAATTTTTAATGAAATTTTATACTAAACTGAATTTACAAATTCCTAGGGAATATCCTAACCTAAATCCAATATGTACTAGAATATATTGCGTGCACAGTGCGCCCCATTAATTGGATGACAATTTGAATTTTTTAACCAATAAGAAAAAAGTCACTCACTTTTTCGATATATTTCGATTATTGACTAACTTCATGTGTCTGTGTGAATTCATAAATAGCGCTAGAATATATTTCGCGTCAATGATTGAATGATTTGAATTTTTTAACCAATAGGAAAAAAGTCACTCACTTCTTCGATATATTTCGATTATTGACTAACTTCACACGCTCATGTAAATTCATAAATATTAGAGAGAATTAGTTTTTTACTCGTTCAAGTATAATTAGCAAAAAAATTAGCGAAAGATTTTTTTTGTACTGTCAGCTTTCTAGTTTAACTCAATTACCAAAATTCTCATAAGTGTTAAAAGAATAAGCATTTTAATGAATAAAAATAGTAAATGCATGCATTCTACACTAGAGATTATAGAGAGACAGAGGCATGTAGAAATTCTTTCCCGTTTCCCATTTTAGATAATTGATAACAGTGAATGATAAATACAAAAAAAAAAATAAAATCAGTGGATGAAAAAGAAATATCAATGGAAAGAAATTGATATAAATGTTATAAATATTTATTTTATAAAAAAAAAAAACACGCTCTGCCCTCTTTATTTCTAGATTGCCAAAATAAAAATATTCATATTTATATATATATACACATTACTTGATATGGTTAAAAAAATTATTTTTTTTCAATAAAAATAAACTACTAGATAATGAAAAAAAAACGCAACACGGCGCGTCTCGTTCGCCGGTATTTATTGAATAAATATATATCCAAACTAGAATAAAAAAAGAAGCTTCTAAAATGACAAAATTTGAACTTGAAGCATTGGAAAATTAATCTGAATAATTTGAGCAAAAAAAAAAAGTCGAGCTTTACGACAATAATTTGCAGCGTTCCAACGGCGTTATAATCTTTATCTTGGGGTTACGCTCTAGATACACGTTTCTGATACCAAAGATACCGTTTTTCATAAGAGAAGTATCATGTGAAGATATGATTTTTCACATTTTTTCTCATGAATTCACGATTATTAAGAGTAATTTTTGCTAAATCATCAGATACGTGTGGATTCGATGAGCGAAACCCCGACATTTAACTCACGGATAGAGAGCAGAGAGGTTGATCGTCCGATATCGTACCGTGTCGCCTACCTTCTTCTCCCATTGGAGAACGTAGGGCACTGGGTGCTCACCGGGGAACTCTACGTGACAGTTGAAAACCACGCTCTCTCCCAAGATAGCTGTTATGTGAACTGCGTCTTGATGATTACAGAGGCCTGAAATAAATAAATATATTATTATTTTTGATCCACTTTTCTACTGTTAAATTTCAATTGTCTTCATTCTACTTTTCTTTTTAATTAATGAAGCCCAAATTTACAGTAGTCGTGGTAGAATATTTTTTGGTTATTGAGAACAATAAAAAAAATAGTACATTTCACACCTAGGGAGGGAAAGTAGTCTAGCTCAAACCACGTGTAAAATTACAAAGTAGTAAACACGTGGGTTAAGCTAGTCTAATTGTCTTCTCTAGGGCTGAATATGATTTTTCGTCATACCTGCGTGGAAAGTTCAACCCCTCTCCAATGGAAAAGTGAACTTTGCGTGCGGGTATGACGAAAAAACATTTTTTTTAAATAATATTGAGTTGTCCAGATATAAATCTGCCATCTCGATCAAACTTTCAAGAAATTATAAAAATGTTATGGAGACATCTACACTATGGCTATCTAGGAACAGTAAGCCACTGCAAATTGTAGTGTTTTAATCAAATTAGTATTTTAATCAATTAAATGACCATTTTTCTGTACAGCAAAAAATATTTTTCCCAGTGTACTTAAAAGAAATTTAATAAGTAACTGAGATTCATTAAAAATATTCTCACGTATTCAATACACTGTTGAACTTATTTATAAGTTATAATTTATGTTAATGAGAATAAAGAGAAAATAAATAATAGAATAACACAATAGAAACTGGTTTAATTTTAAAAGAAAATAAAAGTTACTGAAAGTGCTTCCAGTTATGTCATGGATCTCCTGGTATATTACAGAATTTATACAATTTATAAAGAAAGAAAAAATAGAACAAATCAAAGTAGAATAAAGTGACGGAAGCTAAAGAAGTTAAAGTTTTCTTGTAACAGTGGTAAGAAATAAGTTGAGCGACTCTTTCTCACACTGAAAGACGTTTATGCCTTACGAGAATGGGGAAAAAAGTTCTTGGGGCTGAGAATAAATAAAGAAAAGAAAACACGGGTGGTGTATCTCAGCAAATTCTCACATTAGAGAAGCATGAAATTAGCACGCAATGTAGGTTTTAACATCTGGGAAATTAACGCCTGAGGATTATCGACATTAAATCGATAGTGTACAAATAGATCGACTGTGTATTTTACAAGCAATTAAGGTACCTGGTGAAACGAGTAGTACAATGCCAAGCAACAATGTTCCAACAAGCATTTCCGTGATTTGTCGAAAGCCTCTACACCTCCATAGTCTTCTTCTCTCCATCGTTTGATACTTCTGATCCTCATTCTTGACACTAGCCTTTAGTAGACTATCCAACGAGAGTTTTAGACTCTCCTGTCGACGTTTTCGCCGTCGTCCCGGGCCTTCCAACTTGCTTTTATTGAGACAAGGCCACGCAAGGCTGTCTGTACTCGACTGACGTCTGTCACGTGTCCTGACCCCAATGCAGGTGGGCTGGCCGGAAGTGAAGCCTTCTGTCGTCTCTGAAATTGATCTAGAAAAAAAAAACGGAACCTTGTAGACTTTTTATTTCACGTGAACATTATCTTCATCATCAATGTCATTATTACCAACTTTTAGGTTAAGTAAAAATTTTTTTAAATAAATATACTTTTTATACACTGATAGAAGAGATTTATTACTGTTAAAAAAAGATTTTCCATACCTATCGTCATCTACAGAAGCAGAGTGATCTCCAGGGTGGCCTAAGGGTTGAAAAATCCTTTGAGGACCATTGGTACTTCTGGATGTTGTAAACCGCCGATGGAGGTCCGTGGCATGTAGCCCTCCTCCGCCCTCCATTCCCCCGCTCCCATAGTACCTGAAGTATGTCCCAATGACTTTAATTAGCACTACTAATCACTATCTTCAAATGAACTAGACAGGTGATATATTGAAGTGTTTACCCCTTCCGTTTCAGCACCACTACCACTGTTTGTCTCGTCTATCTAGTCTTCCTGCCTTCACTCTGACGTTTCCACTATCCTCCTCCACCAATTGAAAGCATCACCTGTGCAAAAGGAAATATCTATTTCAATCATTTCATCATTTATTATTATTTTAAAACATTTTTTCTAAAAATCTATCTTTTATTATTGAAAGATTATTTATCAATGATGAATAAAAAAAAAACGAATGTCAGGTAAAGAAATTTCGCTATCGGATGTTTTCAATAAAACCATTGGTTCTGGTGTAATGTTACACACTAGATGCCTGGGTTGGAGGTATTCGAGCAGTAGTACCATGTCTAAAGGATTATTGACGCAAAGTAAAAGGTCTTTGGCAACCTGTGAGCATGCCAGGTGCAATGCGTCTCTTCTTCCCTTGTCACTTCTCTCCATTAACTTTCCCCACCCAATTCGCTGACCAACCATCGTGTCTTGACATTTCCCAGGATCACGTGTTCCATTTTAGCCAATGTTGAAAGCATTTCGGCTGGGCCGAACATTGGTATAAAACAACTGACAAGGGAATTTAAAGGGGGTTGGTTACACCCTGGAGGTCATCGTCAAGTTAATAGAACGCTAGGTGAATCTACCAGTCTTTCGACAATGAACCCCCACATTCATGTGACATGGACACCAAGTTATATAACTTCTCTCTACATGCTTCCAAGTTATTAGTGGTAAGCCAGTGGGATTGGCACTATTCTCAAAGCCAAACATTCCTCGGAATCGCAATAAAATGACTTTACCTTTATGACGTGTTTCATAGCTATCTTAATTACTATTTTATAGTGATTGTGAGTGATAAAATAGTTTAGGATTAGCTGTAAAAATGATGGTAATTTTTTACAGGCAAACTTTTTTGGATTATTTGAAAGTTAGTGTATCAGTGACTGATGATGAAAGAGTAGGTTTGGAAGTACAAAAACATCAGACTAAAAAAAATTGCGCATTGTAGCAAGAGAGTAAACTAATTGGTCCATGTCACACGGCCATACTTCCAAACGATCCTATATGTTCCAGTAATTGGTCATGTAGATATAGAGATACCTACGAGATGTATCTACATTGTATTTCATCGACAGCTTTTCGTGTTACAAACACGCTTTTTTGTGTATATAAATTTTTTTGTATCACAACTTATTCATCCCGTGAGATTCATCAGGAAACAGACATGTTTAATACAACTTTTGGACAGATGATATTGAGATGAAAGTAAAAGATTTTCCTAAATGAGACTTCACCATCACGTTTAATGTAGTCTTTTTTGCTCTTTTACCTCCCTCATGTATATTCAATGTAAATGCTACGATTAAATTTTTCTTCATGAAGACTTTATTAAAATTTACTCCAACTATATCTTCACTTTAGTACAGATAATATTCTAATGAATGCCATCATACAGTACCGGACATTAATGCTGTTCAAGTTTTTGAAGGTTATACATGCAATTTCCCTATACTCTCCTATACAATGTAACTCAGCACTAAGACTGGGCTTTACTAACCTCAAATCACCTCAAATTATTATCGTCAAACTGTGCATTTTTTATTGGTTCTTTTCTTGTAAAAAATATTTAGGAATATCCAGAAAGGTGGTATACACATAAAAAACAATAATTAATAATAAAAAAGGCAATAATAATTTCAGAATAAATAATTTTTGAATAAAGAGCTAATAACAAGTGCGCCCGCCATGACACCTCGGACTTCACCAAAAAAGTATTTATTCTACAATTATTATTGCACTTTTACTATTAACTATTGTTTCTTTATGTGTATACCACCTTTCTGAATATTCATAACCATTTTTTACATTAAAAAAAACAAATAAAAAACGCACAGCTAGACGGTAAAAATTTGAGGTGAGTAAAACTTAACCTTAAAAAAAAAAAAAAATTTCTATTTAGGTTTAAGAGGGCAGTGCAGTAGCTGATCTCTAGAGATCATATGTATGTATAATAAATCGGTAATTATTCGGAAGTGGGGTCCACCCTATTTTTAGCTATAAAAAATCGAAAAATTATGATATAGGAATTTTTTTTTTTTTCATTTTATTCATTTTTACGGCGCATTTATGATAAAAAATAGAGCTATATCGAAAAAACAAAATTTAAAACAGTTTTTGGTTCTCAAAAGTTGAAAAAATGACAAATTTTTATGTTTTTAGCTAAAATTTCTATTATATAATTTTTTAACATTATCGAGTTATTTTTTTTCAAAAAGTACACTAAACAACGAATAATTTAAAAAAAAAAAGTGGACCCCACTTCCAAATAATTACCAATAAATCTTTTCAAAAAGTTATTAACCAACAATAAAACATTAATAAAAACCAAATTAAATATTATTAATATTTTGTTACAACAGAGTGCAGAACCTGGCACATCAGTTTAAATACTATTGCACACTAGAAATAATATATAAGCAAAATTCATAAAACAGGTCTATTAATAATAAGTAATCGAACTGATAACCAACAAGTAATAAAGTGAAATTTCCAATAAACAAATTTGCATTGAGAGAGAGATTGGTGAAGTACAGTAATGATTAATTCAAATTTGAGTTAGATGCCAGTTCAATGAACACTGGAAAGTACTTGAAGACCAGATATGTACATTGGAGTATTAGAGAGCAGATATTTAGTGCATTGATGTCGTGAATAATAGTCGAATGGTCAAGTTTATTACCCCAAGAACTTAGTGGAGTTCTCAGAAAAGGGATTGGAGCATACAGAGTACGTTGTCTCTCCTATTCTGAGAAACGAGGATCGCAAATGGAATTTACTCTCCGGTGGCGTGAAACTGCTTCTCCAGCAACAGAAGCAGCAGTATAGAAAGCCTACAGCTTTCGTCTATCCTTGCCCACAATATTGTGGTTGTTCGATGCACGACCAAGTTTCCTCGTCTCGGTACGCGCAATTATTTGTCTCCCTATACATAGTCTAGAAGCTCTATAACGATTGTCCGCTTTTACCATACCTTGTCATTCGCCGCCTTCTCTTGTACCATTGTTCTAACTCGTGAAACTTTACATGCTACTACAATCCTCTATAATAATCATTTGATTGGATAAAACTTCACTAAAAGACCCAATGTAAAATTGCTTCCATTTCATGCTTTATTTTTTTTCCTTCATTCCCATTGCCCTTTTTTGTTTCTTTGATGTTTTTGACTGTGAACAAAGCTCTCTCTCTCTCTCTCTCTATTCATGATCTATCAATGTAAAATGTATACAACTTGTATGTTATTCTAGAGGTTTTCCTATGCAATATTGTGTAGAAACCCTTACAGTGTACCTAGCAGTTCGACTTGCATTACAAACCTTCTCAGTGGTCACGCGAGGAATGACAAATCTGTTTACCCTCACAATATTTGCTAGAGAACTACTAGTGTAGAGCTATTTGTCCATGCCAGTCTATTCCAAAAGAGTAATCAAATGTATTAAAGGAAAATTTTCTAAGTAAATGAATTTAAGGATCAATAGAAGTATCCAATTGAAGAAATGACATCTTAATTACTATTGAAGCTCAAATATGCTAATTAGCATCAATATTTTAATTATAATCATTACTATTACTGTTTTAATTTAATCAATAATATCGAATGATAAGTAATAAATAATTGTTTATTATCAACAATATTTAATTGCTATTAACAATGTTTGATTATTATTGATGATATTTAATTGAATTTAACGAACATAATTTATAAATTGCAAAATTCAGCTAATTTGCCATTTTTTTGTAATTGAGACGAAAAATAATCGTGAACACACGTACTTACACAGACAGACAGACAGACATTGACTTAAAGACCATAGCAATCGACTCTAGAGCCGTTGAAACGTGGAGACATGTCGCAAAATTAGACTCATTACAATAACTTTCCACTGGCGAGTTAATTAGATTCAAACATGATTTAGATTTAGAATGAATTAATAAAAAATGAATGATGAAGTTGATGTAGCTGTGTATGTAAAAGCCACTTATGAGAGTAAGAAACAGTTGAAAGGCAGACTGTTGGCAAAAAGCATCTGCGACAAGTGAATGAATTAAAATGCAAATAACTCAACAAGGATAGGAGATCCTACAGGTAAGCTAGTGTATTTGAAGCAGAAATAAATAAAGGTATGCAGTATTCTTATTTAGTAGGCTAGCATGTAAGCCACGTAGCTGCTGGGCTAAAGCACTTGCGCGCGAGATCTAACCCTGACTAACCTCACCCGTGGCCGGGCGACGGCGTTGCAGACTGCAAACGGCGTGCCAAAGCGAAACGAGGCCATGTGCAGTCTCAGTCACGAGCTAAACTTCCTGACAATGGAATCCACTGCATCCAGGTACAAACCTGATGATAGATCCTGTTTAGATGATTTTAGTTGCTTCGTTGAGGATGCAGTTGCCAAGAGAGAAATGAGGATGCGGGCGGGGCGAGGATCACCCTGGGATTAAGGACTTTGGACCTGGATTCAGTCTACACGCCTGCGTGTCTTCCTTTGCTCTTCCGATCTCTCGTACATTATAATAATGATCAATTAAGGAATAGGGTGGGTAGAGGTATCAAGGGATGAGGGACATTTATTTAGACCTTCTCCTGCCTTCGCTAGGACATTGTTGCTTCTCTGATGATACCAAATAAAGTACTATTCTTCTTCAATTATTCTCCACGTATCTCCACCTGTGATCAAACGATTCACTCGTCAAATTGTTACCTAATGTAAGTCTCAACTTGACCCGCACGTTCATGGAATTCAGCAAATCCACACAATACTATTGTGTCAAAGTTTAACTACTTTTCACAATGCCCTAGTGCCCTGTTAAAGTTCACTAATCACTTGATCAATTGATAACTGATGAAGCTTTCCATTTTATCACACACCATTTCAATTTTACAAATACTCAATCAATCACTTTATTTATTTTAATGACTATTTGATGGATTTTATTTATTAATTATTAAGTAAACAACTTTTACCGGCTCTCTTTTAGGGTTGGATATTTTTGTGAAAATTAATTGATATTTTATAATGATCCAGTCTGGTCAGGAGATTCCGAGTGACAAGAGATGATAAGCCGTAAAAAATGAATGAAACACTGAACGAGACTCTCAGACTGGTTTGCTAGCGAGTGCATGCGGCGCCATGACAGTATGGTCGCGCTGTTTCGCACCCCTACGACGAGGGTGAAATCCCCCACCTTTCTCATCTCTACAGCCACAGCGAATTCCTGCCAACATCCCGACCCCTCGCGGTGGCCACGAATCTATCCCCCACTATGGTTATATTGATCGGTTTGAGGGCAGCAGCCAGGAATGTACCATCAACTCAAGGCTCCTGATTCCTTCATGACGTCTACACCTGTCGCAAGTCACATTTATTTTTGCCAGCATTTCAGTGATAAACTCAATTGAGTTAAAGATACAAAAATAAAAAATTCAATCAATTATGAAATTGAAATATAATTTTTAACTTTATCTTAAGTTTTATTTCTATTTTTCGTTCATTTTTTTTCTTCCTTTCCTGAGGGTAATTGAAATGTGAATGGAATCTTTGGGGTCACACACGCCGAAGTGAATTAAATATATTTCAATCAAAGAAAAATAGTCAAGAAATAGAGATAAAATGTAGGTTTATGAGGGTAGATTTTTATAAAGAATAAAATTGATTGAGTTAAAGCTATATGAAATAGAATGAACTTGTAAGTGATCACGAAAAGACATTGACGGAAGAGGTTGTGCGCGCGCTTATCAAACTCGTCAGATGAAATGAAGCATAGACTAACGAAACTATTGAAATGCAAATAACGTTCATGCTTGCATCAAGAGTATATGCTATATATTGCTCGAGGATGCTCTTATGCTTTCTATTCATCGTCACGCAGATGATTTTAGTGGAGCAGAGTATCACGGCAATTGGTTATCGACGTATTGTCTCTGGTTAAAAAAATACTCGAACCTTTATGATAAATTTCAGATATTACTAGACAGAGTGCATTAGGATCCACCCCAATATTTAATGATAATACCTAACTACCCTACTACTAGTGCCCTAAAACTATCCATCTCATAAATAATTACTAAATAGTCCTGGTCTCCAACTACCCTATTACTATCTTACTAGTATTACTATCTCATTGCCACTATAAAACTACCCATCATATAAATAATTACCAAATGGTCCTAGTTTCAATTACCTTATAACTACCTTATTACTATTACTACCTTATTACCACTCGAAAACTACCTATCATGTAAATAATTACCAAATGGTCTTGGTCTCCAACTACCCTATTACTACCTCATTATTACCGTAAATCTACCGATTACATAAATAACTACCTGGTCTCAAACTACCCTATTACTACCTCCTACTACCATAAAACTACTTATCTTGTACCTAATTACTAAATGGTTCTGACTTTCTTTTTTACTTACAAAAAAATTTATTGATTCCAAATTAATTATCAATATACATATTTTGCTTATACAACTATAAAAAATGATTAAAAAAAACCTATTTACAATTCTAATAATCTTATTTCTTCTTCAAAGCCTAAATTCATACTCCCTTTTAAATGGCATATCAGGCGAGCTGTCTCAAAAATTAAGTGGACCATATTCAGTACCAATTTAAAAAGTTACGTAACTTGTTACTTCCTTGTTATATCACATTTACATTTTGTATTCACCGGAACTCATGGAAATGTTCAACAATTGATCCAAAAAGTGAAATAAAATTTTTCAAAAAAAAAGTAAGTATTTAATTTAGTGCATAAGTGTAGAAAACAAATAGGGAATCCGGTTATGTCATCCAAATACTTGAACAAAAGCGAAGAACAATAAAATAGTTTAGGTAGCATGGAATTCCACGTGTAAATGTTAGTATTCTTACATTAGTTGAAAAAGTCTTTTGTATGATGGCAATTGTGTAGTTGTATCGCGCGTGCGACGAAGCGAAAAGGCCTCGCCGATTAATTTCCATTTTGCGATTCGTCCGTTGAATTCATGACGCGAGTAAACGCGCACGCCCCACCGCTTCTATTCTTCGCAATGTACATGAAATCTTCTCCCTCGCGTCATCCTTTATCTGGCGCCATGCACCCGCTGTTCCGAATCCCATCCCCTGGCTTTTTGGCCTGCTTTCTCCGTCTTTGGAACCCTCTCTACCTCCGTACAGCTTCTTCCGCATTATGTTCTTCGCTTAAATGCAGCAGTACTGTTTCTCAAGAGTCTATCCTCGGTACATTTTACTTAAATCCATGCACTTTTATACCTATATATCCCTGATATTTTTTTTAACTTTTTCTCATTTAATAGTGGGTCAAAGAAAATGGTCAGTCATAAAGCCATTAAAAGTCTTCACACGTACATCTATTTATTAGTTTTTTTTTCTTATCTGTCTAATATTCCTTTTATTACCGTCATCTAACCGTTGTATCGTACCAGTTTTCTCCACTATATAGAAGTCACCTTAGGAAGAAAGAAAAATATAAAAGTCTCACTTATATTTTCATCTTTGTTATTTTTTTTATTTTTATATCCGAATCCTCTTACTGTCTTTTACCAATCTTTTTCTTCTACACACTTTGGAAGGATGTAAAGTGGAAAAGCGACAATTCTTAGGATGAAAGTGCAGTAACGTCATGCTAGCCCAACATTAGAGCATGTACAGACATCAGGTGGTGATGACAGTAAAGAGTATGAGAGAAAAACTATACACATATACAGAGTAGCTAGCTTTTTACTTTTACTCAGTGTGTATGTGTACAACAGAAAGAAAGATTTGGTTTAAGAAAAATTTTCTCATGAAGACTCTATTTACTTTATTTTACATTTATCAAACTGAATAAAAGTTAAACTAATAAATCTAATACTTTGTTGGTGAAAGACTAAATAAAAAATCAAATTTATCTAGTTCATTTTTTTTTTGTACATTGATAGAATATATTGGTAATGATAAAGAAAGCTTATTAAAGGTTAGAAAATCATATTTTAATGATTAAACATAACCTTGTTACAGGAAAAAAAATATTTCTTAATAGTAAATAAATATCCTTGATTAAGAAATACAATGTAACCAATGCAATCCATATTTTATTGCGTACTACATTATGTGACATAAATAGTGCCCGATTTTGTTAGTTTTTTTTGAGGTTATATATTCAATTCCCTGTACTCTCCGATACCAAATTGAGACACCATTTACGTCACATAGTGTATAGTAAATGGTTTTCTGAATATAAAATGACATAATATTCGGATGAGGTTAGGATTTAGTTTCATTTAATGCATATTTTTATTGATAAAAGATATGCATAAGACAAAAAGTTAGGTTATGAAGGGTGAACTGATAAAAATGATAGTTCCGGTTGATACAAGGATAGGTGGCGTTGGGAATGCTGGTTTATGACTTATTAAAAAATATTCATTAACAGTTAAAAAACATTGATGTTAAACAATTAGAATATCATTTTTATTAATAATAAATCTCTTCTATCAGTGTGAGAGAGATAGCTTTCGAAATATTGAAAAATAACGAATTTAAATAAATATTTCTTTTCACGTTGTTTGAAGTTGAAATAAACACGAATGAGAAAAAACAACAATATTGATATGATGTTTTATTTTTAAAAATTAAATATTTATTTTAGAATATCGTGAGATGTTTTGTAAATTTCAATGTCCAAATATACGTAGCAATAACGAAAACCATGCAACAAACTGTGAGTAAATGTAGGCAAATGCAACATTGACGAATATAATCCAGAAAATCAAATTCTCGAGGTAAACATTAAGAGTTATGCATTTATGTAACGTTATTCGGTATAGTCAAGACATTTTGAATTCCATCTCTCGTGACGTCGTTGTGCGAAGAGAAAAAAGGTATGAGAGAGCAATATTTTATTCAAGACTCGAACAAACTTTTTCGGTTTACCTACTTCACAAAGTCAGAGGCATATGAATGAAGGCTAAAATTCATAGAATAATTCCTTTATAATAGCTATCTAAACTCTTCTGCTATTTTTTTTCGGCTCAGCTTTCGGTGGAAACTTTTATTTATAATATCAAGTAATCTTTCAAACTATCAGAAAAGGATAAGAAATATTGTTGCTGACTTTTGTCAGGTCAGTAAAACTCAATTAATATTAAAATTATTTATGTATTATTATAATATTATTTTTCAACAGATTCTATTGCTGCAAATCTCAAATTTGGAAGTGTTTTATTTCGACGCATTTAAAATGTTTTAATGTGGTTATGTCAAGTCAATCAAGAGTGTATTAAGAGTGACTACAATGTCAATCGAATAGATGACGTCATTTCGAATTTAAATTGTACAGTGTTTTATTTATCGAGTGTCGAAAATTGCGTTTTCTGACCTTTCACCGCTTACGTAGCGGAAATGATGATAAAAATAGAAAAAAGAGGAAAGACCTTCTTTAGAAGACGTTCAGTAACATTTCGGTAAATATATATAAAATTTTTAAAAAATTGAAGTTAATAAAATGGCCGACGTCATATTAAAACGCTTGAAGTGCATTGAAAAAAAACATACGACGTTTTACAGTGCATTTGTATATAGTTATTGAGATGGAAATAAGAAATAATAACAACAATATGACAATAAAAGAAGAAAAAAACTGGTCTTTATTTAATTTATTCCTGTGCTTTACCTCACTTACTTACTTTTGATCAAAGTAATTGGTTTTAAACTCGACAAACCAACTGATTGAAATAGAAAAAAGAGGAAATAAATGAGACAAATACCTCGACATAGAGAGTAGAAAAGAAATAAAAAGCTTTCGAAAGCGTTGCATTGCATGCTGAGCGTCATTCCGCGGTAACGGTTCCGTCGACGACTGCAGGAGGTACCAACTGAAATTACGAAGAGAAAAGAGAGAAGGGTGGCTCGAGTTCTCGGTTTAATTTCCGCCGGCACGCATATATGAATGTATATACGTGCACAGTATTATTTTATGCTAACGTAGAATGTATAAGTATATTTGTATATTCGTTGTATAAGATTTCAGTGAACTGTATTATCGCATAGACATGGGAAAACCACTTCCACCGGCGCCACACTAATTTCCTTCTTGCCTACCCAATTATCCACCTGCTCAATCTAAAATATACA